TTTGTGTTTTGAGTGTAACAGCCCTCTCCCTTGGCCAGTTCCCGCTGTGTTTTCCCCAATGTGTCCCTGTGAGTTGTCTTGCAAGTTCCTGGTAGGCGGGGTTAATCAGTGCAACTGAAAGCACCTGACCAGTCTCCTTGAAGCATTTAAGAGCTGACTGTTTCAGCTCTTCTCCATTCAGGGAGACAATTCATTGTGTTATTTGTTCGGTTAGCTTTGGCCTGATTGTTTTAGATTTTATTCTATACAACATCAGGCATTCTTAGCATTCAATAACCCATCCAGATACTGATACACCAAGAACACTGATTAGCAAACCTCATGGAGTACTACAGTTTTCTACTTTATTTGGTTAATAATTTTGTACGTTTTGGTCCAAGTGGTGTCTCTTTAATTATTTGTCATGACCCTCAGGCTGGACTCTGACACTAAGTTCTTCATTTCCTCATGCCAACTGTATTGCCCTGTCTCAGTTTTCAGGGGTTTTTTTTGGTTACTTCCTGTTATTAATGTCAAAGTCCTTATTCCCCATGGAAGTGCATCAGTGCCTATGGAATTGGCAACTTGCACATCTGAAAGGGCGCTATGAAAGCTGCAAATATGCAGGTCCAGACGATGTCTTTTTCAGGGAAGGCTTTACATATAAGAACAGTAGAAGAGTCTGGCTGCTAAAATTACTTGCCTGCAATCATAAAATGAAAATAGTGCATTTTCTCAGTTTAAATAGTTAATGTGTTGTCTATGTTCTGTTGTAAATAAAATATGGATTTGTGAGATATTCAGTTTACTGCATTCTGTTCTGTTTTTATTTACATTTTTAAAAAGTTCGTTAAGGTTTGTAAGAGCCTTTCCTGGGACAAAGACTGCTTTCTATAAACATTGTATAAGTCGATTCTCACTTAAGTAAAGAAATGTTTATACATTATGTATTATCTGTGTTAAACAGGTAAATACATGCCACATAAAGTAGTTGTTTCAAGCACAACCAAGGAGCTATATGACATCATAGCCCCTCTCTGTGATAATGGATTTCCTGTCTGACACTTTACAACCAACAGGTTTCAAACAATAACCTTTGGGGAAAAAAAATCACAGCGGTGCTACAAACAAGAAAATAATTATGGGAGCTGTGTGAAAATTCACAGCTAAGCTATGAGTGTCCATTGCTAATCTGTTAAGTGTTTTGTAGGTTGTGATGTGTTACTATCCTCAACACAGGAGCATTTCTCTGCCAACTGGTTTAAAATAAACTTATGCAGCTTTTGCATTGTTTACCTCATAACATCCCAGATTCTCAGCACTTCGTAGAAGTGCAACACTGACTTCACCTGTACTCAGAACTGCAGTTACCAGTACCTCATTATTTAGTGACTCATTCGGTTGTAAATACAAATGGAAAAGTAGCACAGTGTTGTGGCATGATGACTAATTCAAAGGAGCTTGGGTTAATGGGTGAATGACTGAATGTAGTGTAAAGCGCTTTGGGGTCCTATGGACTAGAAAAGCGCTATACAAATGCAGGCCATTTACCATTTACCATTTAAGTGAAGTTGTCCTTGTCAAAGGACCATCAAAAACATATATCGTTACTATAAGTCAAACCGTTCTGTCAAATGTTGAACATTCAAGGTCCGTGTAAGGACTTGTGTGTGCTAGTTTCACTGGGTTACACAATTTTAATTAGGCAAAGTCAATTTTGAAACGTAAACAAAAGCAGTAGATGACGTGTTTTTCAGATTTTATGTTGACTGTCGCTTATGTGGCAGAAAATAAAGAAATATCAAAAACCATGGGTCTTTATGGGTCTTCTGTTTGTTCTGGATTGTTGATTCTTCCGCTTAAATCAAATTTATTAATCAAGAAAGTGATCTGACTCCCACCCTGATGTTACTGGCTCTATATCCACACACAAACGCACAGGACTACAAATGAATCAAAATGGCAGGCAAAAGCTTGTCCTCTGCATTAATCGGTTCCTCGATCTACTTATTTCCCAGCAGCCACCCTTAGCTGATTACAGCCGTGGATGAAGAGCCATGAGAATTAATCAACAGAGGATCAGCATCTCTAAGTGTGAACGTCTAGAATGAACCAGTCGCTTCAAATCTTGTCCACATTTAGGTCACGCAGACATACATACCCAATCCTTTATGTCCCTCGCTCTTTAGGGAAGCGGCATGCATGTGAATGAGCAACCAGAGTCATTTTTCTATGTAGTGAGAATCTGAAGGTTGAACAATTTGAGGTGCTTTTGTCATACACATGTGAACACGGTCAAACACACATGACCCTGAACACCACCCATACTGGCTTTTCAAGTCTCTGAGAAAAGCAGGACACAAGCTAAATAAATCAGACATCATGACTTAAACAGTAATTTAAGAGATGCATGTGGTGCCTTTGTGTGGTAGACTGAAAACAAAAACCGGCTGTTGAGCGTCTTGGGTCAAACCTTTTGGATAAATATAGCTACCAGATAGCTGGAAAGAATGATGCTGCAGTGTGTGTTTATATGTCTGTCTGTCTGTCAGTATGTGATTATACCTATAGGCTAATGTGCCCCCCCCAGCCGCGCCCCCTCCACATCTCCTCCAACAGAGAAACTGCCAAACAGCTGGTTGCCATGGTTGCTGTTTTCTGCGCACCAATCAGCAGGCACTTTACTGAGGGTCCAGAGAGGGGGCTAAGCCGGCACAGTCTGTTAAATAGCAGCGATATGAGCAGAGACTGGCATGGATTCAGCCATGAACAGAAAAGCCTCAAATAGAGCGGGGCTGGTTAGAAGTGTTTTATTCATGTTGTGATTATGAAATGAGTCTGCCTTTGCATTTTTTTTGTTAAATTTTTTTAATGTCTCAAACAAAATATGGCTTAATTGAAAAATATCTACTAATGTTCAGGTATAATTATCCAGACATAAATTGCAGTTAGTTTGACCATGTGATTTATAGTAATTATTTATTGATATATCAGTAAAACCTAACGAGAGAGCTCTAAACCCATACAAAAGCACAGAATTTTAATGAATCAAATATTTGTAATGTAAGACGAGGCCTCCCTCTGCTGGCAGTGCCGTATATTTGTTGTGCACACAAGAAGAAAACACTGGATTTGTGTTTTGCCAGTTTAAAAGGCATAGCTGTTTCCAGATGTATGATACATAAAACTGTTTGTAATGAAAATAATGCGACTTTTATTTATTTTATTAACCTCAAAGACTAAATTAGGCTGTAACAAAAATAAGGTAAATAAACCCACATTCAAAATGCAGGAAGCCAGAATCTTCAGCTATTAAAGTCATTTTTGTCATATCTTTCATTTCTTTATGTTCTACAACGTAGAAAAGCGGACCAAAAAGCCTCAGATTTCATTATTTTTTTCTCAATACAAACTCTTAACATGGTGTCTTCTGATTAGTCAGATGACTGATTAGACATGTGAAAAGTATTATGGTGTAAGTTTGACTGAAAACATAAATTCTACGTTGACCAGCTATGACAGGTCTGGAATAACAGCGTGTGCTTTATCTTCAACATTTATCGAGCAACACTTTGCCTTACCGCCACCAGATGTCAGTATAACACTTCATCTTAAGCACCCTGTTTCGCTTGCGCCTCTTTCTGCCTTCTAAACCTCTCCTTTTAAACTCAGGGTAAGTTCAGGTGGATTTACTACTACAAAAAAACCTTTTTTCAATTAAAGGTTTATTTATATGTTGCCCAGGATCTATGTGAGGTTCATGCAGTCCGAATTAAATTAAGTTTAAAGTTTACTCATTACACATTCATGTAACTTTTACTAGTTTCTAGTTTGTTTTGCTGATCTGATACTGGTCTTCGTTGTCCCCTCCACCTGCCCGTGGGAGGGGCCCCGGTCCCGGTGTGTCTCAGGATCATTCCCTCGGGTTCCTGCCGCTGATCCCTCTCAGCTGACGTCAGGAGAAATGGCGGACCAGGATGGCAGCGACACATCTCCTCCGGAGTCCCAAGGTGAGTTGTCACCAACAGGAAACTTTACTTTGACAAAACTTTTTTCTTCTTCTTCTTAAGGGGGAATAACAGTTGTGTGAAGTACTGAAGGGTGCTTGAGTGGGTCTGTTTTTGAACACTGACTCTGAGCTAAAGAGAGACTCGGAGCCGGTCGGTCACGGGAGTGGGATTAACTATCAACCAACTCACCCAACCGGTTACTTTACGTTTACCAAACACGACTTGTTACGTAAGCTGCTGTAATATTTATTTATTTATTTTTGTTTTACCCCTTTTTTATGTGTCTGTGTTGTAGCTGGTAGACATTTTGAGCTTCGGCAGACACCTGTTGCTTACAATTTGTCACTTCGTCGAAATCCACCTTCAGCTGACGTGACAGGTGAATTAATGAAAATGAGCCGCAGGTTGTTTTCGGGATGGCATAGATAGAATATGTCTTTAGGCTACAGCTTTGTTCTCTGGCTCTCACAGGTGGATTTATATATTCTTTTGAACTTTGAGTTGGCTTATTAATACCCCAAACATGATCATTTATACTCTCGTTAGTCATTTTTACAATTTAAAATGGCCAAGTCGCCTTGTAAGTGCATTTTTAGCTTGTAGGTCAATGTGTGTATAATGTCTTTGGAGAAATAATACAACACATACAAACTGTACGCCTGTCAGTTCCGGAAATGTCACCTATCAGTGATCTTGTAAAAGTATGTAAAGTATGTTGGGTTTTTTGGCTGCCAAAGGGCAGAGATCTCCCGTATCTTACACCCCTTTGCTTCACTTTTAGCCACTCCTCAAATAGTAACGATATAGCAGGTGATTCCCATTCACTCCTAATGGCAGAGCTGTAATAACTAGAGGTGGGCGGATCGACCCAAATATCGATAGTATCTGGACCAACCCTAAGTGTTGGTATCAGATCGATACTAGCATGAAAAGATCGATACTTTTTTCTGTCCAGTAAATTAAGAATTTTTTGGAAATGAAAAAAAATTAATTATGCACTATGAAAAATGTTTTAACTTTATTCTGTTGACTATTGCATCTATTTTATTTAAAGGCAATAGTGCGCTGAAAAAACAAATGCTGACAAAGTGCTTTAGACATGGGTACATTTACTTTCCAGGTCTCAAAAAAAGAAAATTTCAAAATACATGAAAAGCTTAAAGATGTGTGGTGTATTATTAATTAGTTATTGTGGAAAGCAAAAATCCCAGTGATTTAGTGTTCATTTAAATGTGTGTCCCTTATATAAAGCTGCCTTCAGAAGTTAAAAGTATCTGTTCATGTTAATCCACAGTGCATCCAGGCAAAGGTCGGCACCTTCACTCAGTTTTCCTTGAAAATGTATAAAAAGCAGATTCGTTTAGATGAAGGGTTTGGATAGGTGTGAGAGTCCCTTATAGCACACAGAAAGTTACATAAACAGTATTCCAGTGCTTTTATAAAGACCTGGAACCCAGTTAAGTATGCAAAGAATTATTGCTGCATGAATTACAGTAAGAGTGATTATGTTCACGTACTGCGACACAAGCAGCCCTGACAACTATATCGTAGGCAGAATGGGTGCACGGTGGGCATGACCTTCTATTGATTTGAATGAGTTGAGATTACTTGCTTTAGGATTACATAGCATTAAGCTCAGCTGTTCCACAAATGTCCCCTGCTTTGACCTAGCTTGACCTGCAGTTAGACAGCAACTAAAGCCACCAAGAGTCATACATACAGATACAGAGGATGAGACACTAAAAGAAAGAATTCATATTTTAAATTTATTTTGCAGCTCACAAAAAAATTACTGCCAATTACCTCTAATCCATGCATTGTAACACTGCACAGATTAATTAATACATGTTGTTAACTCTGTATTTATAAAGAGGTACTGCAGCTTTGATCCAATCAGAAAGTAAGTTCCTAAGATGTGGTTTATCTCCTGTCATTACTACCTGCTTCCCAAATCATCCTTTTTGCTGCTTTGTTCATGAGTTGCCCTGCATTCTGCCTGCACAAAAAGTTACTTCTGTGGGTGATTGCGGTGTTTTCCCAGATTCGCTGTCAGTTTGGCCATCCATCACACATTATGGGATTTTCTAGAAATTTAACTCAATACTTCTGGGTTAAATTTGCATACAACTCGGCTGTTATACTTTAATTGTACACTATGTCAAACATTATGTCATTCAGGACCCCCAACATGTCAGACCCAGGGTTAGCAATTAAACTTAACAATAAACGAAATCTTTTTTTTTCACTTGCTTGGTTTCATTTTACTGTATTCAAATGTCCATTCTCTTCAAATGTCTGTGTCTAACACACACATTCAGTAGGTGTGAGAAGGGTGTGTTACCCATCCTATCAGGTTAAAGTCTGAGTGTAGAATTACAGCATTGCCCCTCCTGCAGGGACAAAGATCAGATTGCTCTTTCATGAATGTGTGCGTTTGTGAAGTGTGAGCTCTCTGAGGAGATGAGACAGCAGGACTTGTCCTGAATTCCTTTATATAGTAAAGGAATAGTGGAAAAGGTAGTGGTTTGGAATTATTTTAGGAAATACTTAATGCTTTTGCTTATGTACATATAAAGTAAAAGAAACAGTGGAGTTGTAACTTTAGTGGCTATGTTGCTTTTCACAGCATGCAAGCTATCGCACTTGTTTCTCTAATCTCCATATTAGTTTAGCTCAAGGATGCATTAACAGTAATACAAGTTGAGCCTGGTGTTTGTACTGTTACTATCCAGGCCTTCAAAGTTTGAAATACTCCCCCTTTTATTTCACCCTCCCTTTCATTGCATCTGCCATATTGTGTCACCTTTTAAAGGTTCTGAATTTGGCTACAGAGCCAAGCAACAATAAAGTTGCACTGCAACATTATTGTAGATGCAGTGCAACTACAATAATGCTCCTTGGTTAAATATTGATGTGCTGCGTGTTGTTCCTTCTGCATTCTTGTGAAGCTGCAGCAACATATGAATGTTCTCGCTCATCGTACATCGCCGTGGCATCCTAAATGGCTGATGGCTCTTTAAGTGGATGGTGGGGTGGGGCTATATACCATGTGCTCTCTGTACACACCCCTTCCACAGAAGCAGCTCCTGTACTGCAATATTTGATTTGGTGTGTGCATCCCTAGTTGTGTGTGTGACTGTGTACAGCACATTAAAGCGTGTCCGTCCTCTGCTCTCTCACTTCCCATGCGTCACTGGTCCATGTGCTGCTGTTGTCAGGGAAACCCTTTGCCAGCACCGGCTCAACTTCCACCACTGGATTCGCACTGAATATTTTAACAAACCCCGCTCTCCTCAGTTACTCTGTGTTTGTGTGTGTGTGTGTGCTCTGTGCAGTCACTGCCTGGGTGATATGATTCTTCTGACAAGTTTGCATTCACACAATAGACCTAGCAAGGGAGAGCTGAAGCAGGAGAAAAAGGAATGCAGTAAAAGTAGTGACAGCAGAGGCGGCATCTCGGGAGTCAAAAGAAGCACAATCCTTACAGCTCTCGACCAAGCCAGTCTTGTGGATTAAGTCTTCTTTTCTAAGCCAGACTGCAAGAGCTCATCCTACAAGAGACTCTCTCACTCATAGAGAGACTCTCTCTATGCCATTGCAGGGAGTATGGACTTGGCTCAATGAGCTGCTCTGTTTGTCTCTTCCACGCTCTCCTTCATCCACCACATTTACTTTCCTCCATCTCCACCACCTTTTTTCCCCTATCTCCTTACTCATGTTTCTTCTTCTCTCTGTCGCTTCTTCCTGCTGTCTTAAAGTCAGAGCAGCAACCTGAAGAAAATTGCTGTTAGCACTAGCTATTAGCTACCTACGTCTTAGAGAAGGTGGCTTTTAGGGGTGACCTCGTCCATCATCATCCTCTGGCATTCAGGACAGACCTCTTCCCCCACCTCCCATCCTCACCCAGCATCACAGGGTGGGATGGGACGGGGTTGGGTGAGTTAGGCTGGGGCTCAAGGGTTAGCAACAGGGTAGGCAATGCCAGATAGTAAAGGACGTGGGGAAAGAGGAGGTGGAGGTGGGTGTTTGCAAGGGAAGTGGAGGCTGAGGAAGCGAGGTAACCGTTCAGCTATCCCAGCACTTTTCACCATCACTGAGGAGGAGGAGGTACAGAGACGAAGAGATGCTTGCAAGAGAAAGACAAAAGGTATGGATGAAAATGAGAAAAGAAAATGAGAGCAGTGTAAACTACATTTTCTCCCTTAAATACTGTGATGTTTGCGCTGACAAAAATGTTAGAGAGTGTGTGTGTGTGTATGTGAGAGAGAGAGAGAGAGAGCATTATCTGGGGCAGAGAAGCTCTTGGGGCACAGAGATGTTTAACCAGACTCCAGAGAGTCGCAGCAGTTTAAAGAAAGATCTGAAAATGTGGTCCATTAAAGACAAATGTGTCTACATGCAAGGCTAATGATGTTGAATAAAGAGGTAGGAGTTGATACCCCTAGCAATATGTAGTAATTGTTTGATTTGTGCACAGTTTGCTTTTACAAAGGAAAACTCCTCTAAAACTGTGAAGCGCAGCCATCCAGAGACAGGCGCCTGACAGGTGTGATGAGGAAGCACAGTTTTACTGTTTGTGTGAGTGAAAATCAGCTGACAGGGCAAGATTGACTCAAGGACTGCAGATGAGAATGGAGGTGCGGCTCACTGTACATGTGATCTAAATGCATTAGTAAGCAGAGCAGTCGGGATGCTATTACAGTTGGAGCAGGCATAAATGTGCCACACGTTAGCTTTCCCTTTTCACACAATTCAGAAAGATATAGTGTTAGATTTAATTTCATGCCTTATCTAATGTTGAGATGATGCTGTGACCAGTGTTTTTTAGTAGAAAGAACAAAGCTAGATGGTTTTCTTCAAGTAGTGTAGTATTACAGACTGACTCTACAAATCATGCATATGCCACATTATATATAAGGAACAAGACAAAGTGGCTAGTTTCATTTCTAGATAATTGCATTTCCTGTTTGAATCCAACCATCTCATGCTGAGGGATGTGTAGTTGCATCATGGAGCAAACATACATGTAAGATATGATTGAAACAGGTGGAAGGAGAGAAAACTGCTGGGTTTACTGTGAAGTCTGAAATTGTGAAGGAGCTGCTTTTTTTTCACAGTTATCTTTATTATGAAGACATGGTGGGTGCTGTTGATTGGACTGATTCAACACACGACTGTTAGACTAAACTGATTTGTTTTGTCTCAAATAGTTCTTTCTACTTTGACCTTAGCCTGTAATTTCTCAGTAATGGTATGGACTTCATTACTCATGTACAAGTCAAATGGTTGATGGAGCTATAAGAAGTGTGTGGATTTTCATTTGCCATTGATTGTTAATAGTAAACAAGATGACTTTATTTGAGGGCATTGGTTTGTATGCATACTCTAGTGCATAGGTGTCAAACTCTGGCCCGCGGGCCAAATTTGGCCCGCAGACTAATTACATTTGGCCCGCGAAGCCATACCAAATTACTATTAGAGCTGGCCTACTGGTATTATACAGCTAATATATATATTGTTTAGTATTAAGCTTTGCTTGTTCCATATTCAGTTTTTCAGCAAAACGTGTTTGAGTCCATAAGAAAAGATTCATTCTTATATCTGGAGGAATAAATATATTTCAATAAATATTAACGTTAGCCTGCGACTTTGTTCCAGTTTTGAATTTTGGCCCATTGTGTATTTGAGTTTGACACCCCTGCTCTATTGTCAGTGAAAATTTGTCGAGCAAAAATTTGTACTAACAAAATTTTTTAAAAAACTTTTGAAGATGGGAACATTCAAACTTTTCCAGTTTTAAATGACAGAGTTTTCCTCTCATGATCTGATTTGCAGCTTGGCCCTGCAGCGTGCAGTGAGTGCAGCTTTTTGTACTAAAAAGCAGAAGCCAGCGTTCTTGCACCTGTTACCCAGGCCTGAGTGCCTCTCCTAGAGCTATAAAGGAACACTCCCATCCCTGCCCCACCCCCCTTTTTTTTTCTTCTTCTTCTGGTGGTTGGGGCTTACAGTTTAGCTTAGCATTAGCAGCAGCTAATCCTCTCAGGCTGAAGGGAAGGAAAGGAGCCATACAGCGTGCTATCCGCTGGCCTGGACAGCGGAGCATTAATCGCTAACTCTGACCATTTAATCTGACTGGCAATGAATGCAGATAGATTGGGGGTGGGGAGCGTGCATGCACATACACACATACATGCAAGCAACAGAACGGAGGGAGGGGCGGGCAGATTAAACGCTGACACTCTCACGTCTCACTCTCTGTTACACACATACTCTTGTTACACAAATATACATGCATACACATGGACAAAAGGATGGGGTTTGGAGAGCTGCCACAACCTGTCTCACACACTGACTCTCAGCAGCAGTGACACCGACCACAGCTGACCTCTCACTCTTTCTCTCACCCTCTCGTTTTCACTTCCCATTTTTTCTTACTCTGGAAACAGTTGAGTTTTGGATGGATTTCTTTTGACTGCCCTCTTTGCCCCCCCTCCACCTCACTGCAACATGGATTTCATTGGGTCACTCTTTTCAGTGAAAGATGCTTTCAAGAAGTAGGAATGTGGTTTCTGGTCCTCCGATTCGACTAGTCAGAGTGGGATGCTTGCCAAGAGCTCAGCAGGTGCAATCTTGGAATTATGAACCACAATCCAGGTAAAGCCTTAAACCCAGAATTTTGTTTTGCCTTTATTTAAACTATTGAAACAGCGTACAAAAGAAAGGAAGTGACAAGACTGACTTGCAGCAATGGTCCTGTTTGCAAGGAGTTGAAATATGGGACTTAGCTGCAAGTTTGGGGGTTTTTTTAGCCCTTTTGGTTAGCACCATAGCCTCTGAGCTATTGGGTCACCTGTGTCCTAAACTTTCGCTGCCAAATCTACACTCATCTAGTACAAGGTACTTCATTGGGAATGAACAGGACTACAAAAGCACCAGCATCAGTATGCTTTGGATTTGGCTTTGTCCTCGAATATTTCATTTGAGATCAAACCATTGCCATAGTGTCAGTTTTAATACGAGGTGTTTGCTGTCAGTTCAGATGATCCATGTTCTTTTTTTTTCTAAATGGGCTTCAAATGGGCTGGGGTCCTTAGGGACTAATTATAGGGCGATCGTGGCTCAAGAGTTAGGAGTTCGCCTTGTAATCGGAAGGTTGCCGGTTCGAGCCCCAGCTTGGACAGTCTCGGTCGTTGTGTCCTTGGGCAAGACACTTCACCCGTTGCCTACTGGTGGTGGTCAGAGGGCCCGGTGGCGCCAGTGTCCGGCAGCCTCGCCTCTGTCAGTGCGCCCCAGGGTGGCTGTGGCTACAACGTAGCTTGCCATCACCAGTGTGTGAATGTGTGTGTGAATGGGTGGATGACTGGATATGTAAAGCGCTTTGGGGTCCTTAGGGACTAGTAAAGCGCTATATAAATACAGGCCATTTACCATTTACCATTTAATTAAAGCGCTATACAAATACAGGTCATTTACCAAATATTCAAAAGGATATGTGTTAGCCTAATATGAATTTAAACACTAAGAACTTATGCTCATAAAGACATTGCTTAAAATCACGTCAGCTGGAGTGAAACCAAAATATTTTGTACATCTGTCCTAATCTTTTGAATCTAGACTTTTGTAGGACTTCAGGTTTAGTATGTGTAGATTCTTATGTTCCTGGTTGACAGTTGGTTGAAAATATGAAAGAATCTTATATAAAAGTGTAGCAAAAGGTGGTGGACATGAGTGTAGCCAGACATTTATTACTGGGAAGTGGAATTATGTCACACATGAAACTGACTTTGGTGTGTTTGCGAAGGCTGTTAAGCTGCTGTCTATTGCTCACAAGCAAATATGCTCGCTGTTATTTGAGGTTTGTCGCTTTATGACCTCTACAACAGATGGGTGAGTCTGTGAGACGCAGTAAGAGGATATAAGCTGCACAAGTCCAACATATTAGTATTTTTTCTGTAATATTTTCAGCTGAAAAAACACAGACAGTGCAGATTTGCGATGTTATCATGACACTGCGTCATCTGGAAAAATGTTTTGAACAAAGGAAACAATGAGAAAATGTATGAACCAGAGATGTGGAGATAAATTTTGGCTGGTTATCAAATTCCACTGATTGTTATAAGTAAAAGGCTTTAACTGCTTTTCGTAACTATATTGTACAACATGCATGCACCTTTTTCAAAGTATAGGAATTGAAGGAATGCATTCGTTCTCCATTTATTTTTATCTGCAAATGCTCTGAAGGACATCTAGCTCGGAGCTACAGTAAATATTTATGAGGTAAATCAAGTTGTGTAAAATGGGCCACATTGTTAATGTCAAAATTTCAGTTCCTTTATTCCAGTAATTTTTTAATAGTTTAAGAGGCAATCCTCTTTTCTCTTCTTCTTTGTATTCTGAATATTTCTGTGAGTGTGGTTCATTGATTAAACCGACCAATTATTAATCTTTTCATACTTAGATTCATACTTAGATGACTGTTCTACTTACAGTTTGGGTGCGAGAGGTGCGGTACACCCTGGACGGGTTGCTAATGTTATTTAATTTCACATGGGATGAAAGTGTCTCTCTCTTGTCTTGACTTTTATAGGAAGTGTTATTTCTTATGTAGTTTTAAGTCATCCCAGCTGATTAAAGTGAAGTGCATAAATTTAAGCTGTCAAATTAAAGAAACTGGTTGTGGTCTTTGACAGTCGCCTACTGGCTCATTGTGCGGTAGTCCACTCGGATCATTAAAACGCCCACTCCATCACAACATGAAACTTGAAGGCAACTTGTATAAATGAAAAGGCTCATTACTTTGCCTTTTAATGCATTTGCAGGAGCTCCTGGCCTTTCATTCAGACTTGACTTCATCTCATTTAAGCCATCTTTTTTGTTTACCCAAAAGCCCATTCACGTATGTCTCGTTAAGTATCTGACTTCAGTGTATTATCCTCATCATTCAATAAACTGAATCTTTTGTTTGAGGAAAAGGATTTCAGGGGAAGAGAATAAACAGACCAGACTTGTTTTTACGTGGCCCAGTCCAGCCTTTCCTCTCATAACAATAGCCTATATTAAACCACTTCCAATGCCAGTCTACCCGAGGCAGGGCAGACCTATGAATGCTTGTGTACACACCTCTGTAGATGTTCCATAGACTGTGACATACAATCCGTCTGCAGCTATGCCCTCACATCCTTGGTCTTTGTGATTCACCCTAAAAACCTCTCGAGGTGTTTGGATGGAGATGTTAGTGACAGTTTAGATTCATAAGACTTTCTGCAAAACAAAATATCATAAATTACCAAGTACAGTGAGAATAAAGTGAAAGGAGGAAGCTGTTTCTAATATACTAAAACTGATCAGCTTGCAAATGAAAAAGGGCATTTGAAAGTAGTAGTTAGTGGAACTTGTGTTCAGACTGATGTTCTCTTTTACCTTTTAGGAGGAAGAAGGTTCCAATTTTTTCTCAGTCCTTGATCAAATCTTTATGAACTCTTAAGCCACACCTCATGCCCTTACATTTTGCTAGGAAAATGGGGAATTGTTGCAGTGAGTCAAGAGAACACATGCAAACATAAATGGAAATACAGTATTAGGTTTGTGCAAGCTTTCTTGTAATTTTCAGCTGTTGTTAATCTAGTGTAGGTTTTTTCATTGTTGTTATTGTTGTTGTTTTAAGGCCTGCCACTTCTTTTGTCCTCACTGCACAAAAAGCTGCGAAGTTTTTTGACTAATAGCAGTTTTTGAATCACCTTATTAGTGCAAAAATATTCAATTGTGCCTGTCAGACTGTTATGAGCTTTTATTTTTTATAGATTAAAATAAAGAGGAACAGACAGTGTTTTTGTTACCAGCTGGTAATAACAAAGTCCCCAAAGATACAACTTTAAATTGATTTTAAAACTGAACGATTCATAGGTCAGTGTTAAGTGCCTTAACAGGCAGACACACAAACCTCTAAAATGACCAGGTAATAGAATTGGAGTGAACATGAGTGGAAAAACCCAAAACAAAAAAGCAAAAAAAAAAACAACTTTAAAAGACCTTCAGAAAGTCTGGAGAAGACCACTTCAAGACCACTTTAAAATTGACAAGTTTGGCTGCTTGGAAACTAAATATAAAGAAATGAGACACTTTCACAGTACTGTAAACAAGCCTGGAAGGAAATGGTAGCATGAAGTCAATCAGAAAAGCCAGGATGTTGAGAAATGATTCAGTGTTTACTCTTAATGTTATGTAACTATAAAATTCATTGAGACACAGATTTCCATCTGTAACTCTAGATATGAAACTTGTACTCCATCCTGTCCTCTTTCTGTAAAGAAAAGAAATAGGTGATAGAGAGACTTGTGTAGAATAGGGCATGATGGCTGTGATAATTAAAGTGGAGTCCATCTTTTTCAGTTTATCAGATTAGTCAGGGGGGATGATTTATTTTGGTCTTTGGGTTTGTGGGACAGGTTGGTCTCTGTGGAGACTGAGGAGTCTCTCTCTTATCACCACACACAGGAAAGGACTGTGTTGAATGCTTGCTTAGTACACCTACAGTATTTATTAATAGTATACAATTTTTCTAATCCTACCCGTGTAAATTTATGCGTCTGGTTCATCTGCATCAGAGCCAGTATAACGCTCTGTGTCCAGGAAGCTAACCTGAAAGCGCTGAGTCACCCTATGGTGCAATTAATCAATAGCCTAGCTGTGAGCTTGGTGGAAACACTGCAACTTCATGGCCACATCTATGAATAGCAGGAAGACAGTGAAGTGCATATTGTTTTATTGCATTTTGTTTTTCTGTTAAGCAACTCAGCAAAGCCTGAAAATACCAGGGAGACCACCTGCAGAGATTTTTGATGCATTTGAAATTTTTTGATGGTAAACTGCTATTTCTTAAGCATTTGGTTGACTATGTTCATTTTTATTTTAAGCAGCAGTTTGTTCTAAACACAATGTTCAGTTGAAGTGTTGTTGAATGGGTTTTATTTAGTGGGAAAACATTTATTACAGCTCTGGGTGAGGAGCTGTGGAAAGTCTTTCTGATGGTGCTTCCTAATGTGCAATTATTATCTTGTATTTTTCTGTATCTCTTTTCTCCCACTTTCTCTTCTTTTGTTGTTTTATTATGTGACACTTGTTTGTCCTTCTTTGCAGCATCGTACTCTCACTTTAAGTCAGAGGATGGCACCGTGTCTTCAACCACCCGTCCCAGCTCTGCAGGCTCTGGGCAGACCTACACTCCCAGCCTGACCCCTACACCCACTCCTACACCTAGTCGCACCACCAACAGCAACAGCCCCAGTAACAATGCTGGCACCAAAACAGGTGAGTCCCACATACATTACAGTGTGTGAATGTGTGTGTGAATGGGTGAATGACTGAATGTAGTGTGAAGCACTTTGGGGTCCTTAAGGACTGAGTAAAAGCGCTATACAAATGCAGGCCATTTACCATTTACCATATATTTTAATGAGATTAGTTTGTACCGTGTCTCAGCATTGACTGTTTTATCTGTCAGGCCTTTAACATTCTTCGCTGTTGTTTGTGCTGCAGACTCGCTGCTCTTCAACAAGATTGACGAGAGACTTAGGTTGGCCCGTGAGCGCCGGGAGGAGCGTGAAAAACAGAATGGTGAGCGTTCTTGTGAGTTTGACAGAGAAAAGAATAAAAGTTATCTTTTTTTGGGTGTTTTTTTTTGTCTTTCCCACAACATATTGTGACTGAACTTGGTTGGTAGCTGTGGTGAAGTGCCAGTTTCTCTGGCTGTTACATAAAGGCTAGGTTCAAGCCAGGCGGCCTGTTGCCATGGATTCCGTGTTACATAATGGGACAGTCCATGGGACAGCTTTCAGAAAGGCTGGTGTTTTGGATATTAGAGGGTGTGTGTGTGTGTGTCAGTATAACCAATATAATACAACAGATGGCTTTTAGGAAGTCATTGCCTATTTATTCATGTTTTAAGTGTGAGTTTTTTTCACACTGTTGTACACTGGTCGCACCTCTGGTCCCAAGTAAGGGGCTGAGGCATTTGCGTTGTGTTGAGAGCTAAAGCTTTCTCATATGATCCACAGCTGACACATCACATTACTGCTATAAGCCTTTTAGTGTTGTGTGCAAGTTGCCTGTTTTTGTTTTCTTTTTTCAAACAAATTGTTTATCATGTTTACATGTGCCAGCTGCCAAGGAGGCCCAGTGGCAGGCCCGTGAGGAACGAGCCAGGCAGCACTATGAGAAACACGTTGAGGAGAGAAAGAAAAAGCTGGAGGAGCAGCGGGTAAAGGAGGACAAGAGACGGGCTGCCGTGGAGGAGAAACGTCGGCAAAAAATAGAGGAAGACAGGGTACTGACGCTCCCCTCGTTCACAACTGTGCATCCTGAGTGTTACACTCGTGAACACACAAAGGCTAACCTCTTACCTGCCACCTGCTTCCAAGTTTTTTCTGAAACACCCATCCAGGGAGGATGGGGGGACATGGATACTGTATTTGTGTGTTTAACCACTCCTTTTCTCGTATAAAAAAATGTAAAGAAAAATTGCAGATCTGTCAAGTAGTCATAGATTTCCTGTCCAGCAGTAATTAACTTTACAGCGATTTGACGTTCTAATTAAGTTGTTGATTTACAGTGTCATGTTACTCATCTGTAACATGACACTGTAGCAGCACATGTTGATGACTTTGCATAAATAGTAATAATAAATCTGGATAGTTTTTTTTTCTATTGATACAGTAGGTTTTTAACTTTTTACTCCATAAAGATGATATTTGACAACCTCACCTGTATGAGGTTTGACATCTCAGTATATAGCTGAGATGTCAAAGGGTAGCTAACTTTTGATGCACTCAGTCATTTTATTTTATAAGCAGGCCTGAAATATGACAGAAAGCACTCAGTTCAAACGGCTTCAATGGTTACTCTCAGTAGGCTTTCAACGAGTAAAGAGTTACATCTTAGTAGGAAATTAGGTTTGGATCGAAGTCTTCATTTTATAGGAACGTTATAAATTTAGAAACAGGGACTGTAGGAGAACAGGGAAACTACTACTACTGCTACTGGGCCACCAGATGCCCACCGTACCTCAACTTTCAGTGGACTCCAATTTCTACAGCCTAGAAAGTGTCTATGGTTCCTCAGCTTTAGCTTTAGCACCAGCACATAGGTTGGCATTTCTTTCATTCTATCTGCCATGTATTGCTACTTTGGGTGCAGTCAAAGCACTCCATTCATTCAGAAGAAATGAAGAGAGAGAATTTGCTTAGCACTTGGTATGTCGGATGGCTGTTTGTTTTTTTGCCATTGATGTTCTCGTTGTTTTGACTGTAGGCTCGTCATGAGGCAGTGATTCGCAGGACTATGGAGAAGAGCCAGAAAACCAGACAGAAGGCCAACCGTTGGTCTTGGGGAGGAACTCTGCAGACAAACACTCCCTGCACAACAGCTGGTACTCTTACATATATCACATATATAACACAATACCTGTTAACACACAGCACAACACACCATAGACATAGTCAGTTGTACAGCCATTTTTTCCCCCTCTGCATTGGTGCTCATACACCTGATGCGTGTCTCTGTCAGTGCCTCTCTTGTATAAATATGTCTGCCTGCCTCTGCGTGTCAGTATTGTTCTGCCATGTTTATATTTGAACTTTTCAGATCCGCTGCCCTCTGTTGTTACTGCGTATTCACACCCTTCTCTGCCTCTCTCTCTTTCTCTCCCCCCCTTGCTCTCAAATTCAAACTCTCTCTCTCTCCCTGACTTACTCTCTCTCTCTCCCTCCCACTCTCGGCTCGCTCTCTACCTGCTCTACACTCTTTGTTTTCTCTGCCATTGTCCTTTCCCCTCCTGGCCCAGGTTTTGTCGAGTCAGCTTTCCTCTATCCACTCGACCTTGCTGGACTGGAGCACATGCAGAGTGCTTTCAGTCTCTACTACAGATACGGAATGACATCCCAATGTGAATATAAAAGCACTGTGTGGGTTAGCTGGCTGGCGTTAGAACGCTGGCTTTAGCACTGTAACTGTTCAGCACTGTGTTAGCTCATTCTCTTTAGTTTTCATGTAGGCCAGTGTGAATGGCACGACATGTAGTTTTGCTATTTCACTCGCATGTAGCAGTTCACGTGTGACGTAAAGTTATATCCCCAGGCACAGGATCATTTACTCAAGCCATTTTAGTTTTATTTTAGAGGACATAAGACCCATTTAGCACTAATCTGTTTTTAAATATCTTTCCTGTCTTAGCAACAAGTTGGTAGTTTTTCATACCTAACCTGAATTAACCAAAATAGAGAAACCCAGAGAGATGACTGACTTCAGCTCTCTTTCTTCCCCTTTTTCTCTCCTTAAATTTCACCAATTCAATATAAAACTGATATGAATTTGTCATGTTTTTTGTTTTCTTTTGTATTCTAGATGCTGATAGGCGCTCAGTGTCCACAATGAATTTATCCAAGCATACAGACCCTGTCATTACCAAGCGCCTCTCTTGCTCCTCTGCCACACTCCTGCACTCACCAGATCGAGGTAATAAATATACACACACAAATACAGTTCATTACATCCACTGGCAATGGTCAGCTTTTGACTCCATCTTGTATAATTTGCCATTGTTATGAAGTAGTCTCTTGTGACAGGCTGTAAAGCACTCATTGTTTTATTGTGATTACTTAATTAGATTTGGGATGTTTATGTGACTGAAACACACTTTTTATGTTATAACTATGTATTGTGTAGCGTGTCATTCCCATTTAGTTAATATGACGCTAAATCCAGCAGAGAGTTAACATAGCTTAGTTAAAGAATGGAAGAGAAACACCAGAATCCAAACTTAAATCAGATAACACTCTTAACAGGAGAAGATGAAATATTATTACAATGCAGAAAAGTTTTCACTGCTAGATGTCAGAAGAATTCTGTTTTCATATTCCTCCAATGTCCTTCCATGGCATGAATGTCTGCAACTTCTCTTCTGCCTTTGCCATACTACATATGTGGTCGGTCTCCAGCCAGATAGGTAAAGCGTGATTAGTCAGAAGGGAGGTGTCCTTCTCGGTCACTGTATTCAAATATGGTGGGGTATATTTTAAATGGATTAATTCTAAGTTTATGAGAATGCATCAATTTTTTGGAAGATAATGAATAATAATGAATGTATATTTGTATATTTATTATATAATGTATATTTATGAGTACTTTATCATTTCTTTCTCATGAAATAACCTAAAAACGTCAATAACTGTACCTTTAATTGGACACACATACTTTTTAGGTGAATTTTTCCCAAATTTACAATAAAGCTACACTTCAAAACAGAAACCATTAAACAGGCCCAAGACGGTGTGAAATATGAACAAAGTAAAATAGGAAGTTATTTGATTAAAATGAAGACAAAAAGAACAATAAAACTGAAAAACACTAAATAAAAAATTTGCCTTATGCTAAGCTAAGCTAACAAACTGCTGACTTGGTCTGTTTTTCAGATGTTAGACCTAAATGAATCCTTGCATGAAGTAATCAGCAACAAAGCAAATAAGCAAATTTCCGAGTTTGAGCTTTTACTGAAGTCATTGTTGAAGTCTAACCATCGGGTCATGCATCATTTGATGTTTGTATGCTGCTGACAGGCTTACAGATGAGAACAGTCTCCTCCCCTGTCATAAACAAAGCTCAGTCCAAACCCCACCTGCATCAGGGAAAGACCAGCCAACAGAAAAACACAGGTTTCTTGTGGGAATTTTTTTGGTCTCTTATACTGTTCCGACTATGTTGCAAGCAACAAAAAAGATCTTGGGCTGGAAACTGTAAAATAATCTGTTACTTTTGTAGAAATTTGTCAGTGTAAAATTTTAAATGTAATATTCTGACAAGAGAAACTTTGATTTGGAGAGCCTACCATGACATGACAAGCTGATCTAATATCCTTTTATGTATAAATATACATTATGATTATTGAAACAAATGCCCACAGTCCAGCACACACGTGTTGGCATTTGTGCATTTCATCTGAGGGATCAAGATTTTTTTCTACCCCCCTCTAACGTGACCCCTTTCTCTAATCCTCAGTAGGATAATCTTTTTGTTTTTGTGGGAACACTGTATGCTGTTTTTATCCTGGCTGTAAAATTGGCACCCACATTAGTCATAAAATTATAATTATGCTCTTGTTCCCATTATTATATTATCAGAAGACACCGCACACTGAGGCACTGTGAAGCATCACTCAGTGAATTCTAAAAAACTCTCAAACATGAATGTTTTTATATATAAAGTAATAGAAATGTAAAAACCCATTTATTACTACAGTTTTCAGCCCAGATGTATCTTTGACCTGCATGCTGACACCTGCAAAGCACTGCACGTTTTGTCTCATACTGGGCCGGATCTCCTTTAATTGGCTTACTTATCAGGTTGCCGTGGAGATTAATTAATTAAAATAGCCTTTTTCTCCGAACTACCTGAGGTAAACTGAAAGCTTTTTGCTTGAATGATTTCCCAGATAAATTGAAATTTCTTGAAGATCATTTTCTTAAAAATGCCATGTGTCCTTTTATCTTGCACTGTTTGTCTTTGCCCTTTTGTTTGCTCTTCATACCACGGTGTTTGCTGCCTCTCATAATTAAACAGATGCATGAAGGTGTAGGTGTGGCACGGCAGTCTGTGCATGCTTACAAATTCACTTTATTTCTAACCTGCAATGCTTGATAGTGTTGGGAAAGGGGGGAAATGCAGTAAATATGTATAATTTATAATCTGCTTTGATTGTTTGCTTAGGCAAATAAGTGGGTAGTTTGTATTTGTAGCTCTTATCAAAGCTCACATGTCACATGCGTGTGTTCAGGACTGCGCCGCCTTCCACTGACGCCATGGGAGAGCAACATGGTGAACCGCCTGCAGCAGCCAACACACTCCTACCTGGCCCGCAGCCGCAGTGCAGTGAGTCTGTCAGGAGACCAATCAGGTAACACGCAACACTGATTTTATAAAACAAAACATTTAAAGCCCTTTGGCTCTTTAGATCAAGATTCTCTTGATCTAAGGCAGAGGTTTTATTAAAAAGAGTATATATACACTCTTATGCTTGGTCTCTTGACCCAAGCAGTTTCGGATGCTAATCTGATTTGCCTGGACTTAAAGCATTACACTGTCTGAAACTTCCTTTAACAGCGTGTGTCAGGCACCCAAAGCTCACGCACACAGACACACATGCACATACGTCCCCCAAAACAAATAAAGTGATCTGTTCAGGAAATCTTCCTCTACTGATGCCATGCCTTGTCACAGCAGCAGGGAGTTTTAGATCATTTGTGTGTGTTCCATCATTGTTTACATTAAGGGAAAGAAATAACTTGTAGGTGAACTACTTGAATTCACTCACTCTTTTCTATTCTGCCCTCTTTGATAAATTCAGCATCATCTTCAGCTGGTGAAGAGCATTTCTTACATGTATTTTAGATGTTTTTGTTTCTGTGTGCTTGCTTGCTTTGTATGGTTTTGGGTCTATTGTGTGGATAGCTATAGTTTGTTCTAACTGGGTGACAAAGTAGAAATGCTTCCAACACTGGGACTCTTTATAGCAAGTAATGGTTTGGCAAACCATTCCTGATCTAAATATCTTTAAGCGTATTGTGTTACGTTTTTTTTACTAACCCTAATCAACCAACCAAATCCTTATTTTGTATCACATAGACAGTCTTTGTCAGACAGTGCCAGGTGATGGTTGCAGTACATTCGCAGCTGTTTGCACTTTTTAGTAGCACTAATACTTTCTTTCTTTCTTTCTTCTCTGTTCCTACCATAAATATCTTCCTCATTCCTCTCAATCCTGCGCTGGCTTCTTCAACCCATGGCTTTCCTTTTTTATTTATTTATTTATTTATTTATTTATTTATTTATTTATTTATTTATTTATTTATTTATTTATTTATTTATTATTCATCTTGATTCCTTCTCATTCCTGTCTTTGTTTCCTGATCCTTTTTCCTCTGTGATCCATTTTATCCAACACTTATTGGTGTCCTACCAATTCTCACACTACCCCAATCAATACCTTCAAAAACACTGTATACTCCCACCTTATACATCACCCTAGCCATGCCTGTGTGTCCTCGCTCAGTTTCCTGCCACCCCATGGGCTCAATGTCCTTCAAGGCCCTGCAGGCACAGCCACTGCCTCACTGTCGCAGCCAGGAGAGGAACCTCAGCAGGGACGCAGCTTCCTCGTCTTTAAACACCTCGCGCAGGAGGACAACCGGAACAACACAGGTAGATTTCATCAGCTCATGACAAAATATCTGGGAAATAATATTTGTGAACAAAAAGCAACTCATCATTATTTCCTGCTACTGATATTACAGAACGTGTTGACGTAAATCTTTTTTTTTTTTTAATCGTTTTTTTTCAAGCACCGAGTAACATTTAATTCTTCTACTTCTTCAACTTTGTCATTTTCAAATTGATTATGTTTCTGATCAAACAATATAAACAATAGATTAGAGTATCTGTCATCACACACACTTGCATCCACTGTTCATCTGCTTCGTGACAGCTTATTATGCCGTTAAGATCTCAGAAAGAAGGCCCCTTGTATGCCGTGCATCCCACACACTAACATATCACTGTGCATGTGAACTGATAACTCTCACCCACTCCAGAATACCGCTGGTGTGTCATTCATACAAGGTCAGTGAGAATGTACAGATAATGGATGCAGTGTGATTTTTTTTTTTTTTTCTCCAAATTAAAAAGACTGTTTTTCATTTTGTGACCTGCTAAGTGTGTTTTGTTTTTTCTTTTTTGTTTCTGAGTTTGGTGCCAGAGGTAATCTAAGCCTAACCCTGTTACTCGTCATCATATTGTGTGGCTACTATCTATAGGGCACCTTCTAAACCATCCAGTTACCTTTGTGTTGCATTAAAGGACATTTTTCTGGAAGAGCAGTTTTGATGATAATGTGTTGTTTGCTTCCCTGGGTCCTTACTTGGTGGTGTTTTAAAAAAACTGCCTGTTTTGACTCGTGCATGTTGTCTTTTGTTTTTACCGTATCTCCTGAACCAACAGCGGCAAAAAGACCGTGACAGTGTCAGGAAGTCATGGAGCAACCTGACACTTCCACTTGCTCCTGTTCTCTCATTGCCCCCAAGCAAGCGCTCCTCTTCCCCAATCAAAAAGAGCGGTAAAGTGACAGCACCCTCTCCTGGCAGGTCAGTTACATTTGATAAATGGGGAATATTTGGAGCTGAAATTGAGTTTTACAGTTTTATTTGAAATGTAACGTGGCAGTTATTTTGCTGATATGCTCGAATGATGACTATTTTTAAAAATATATATATACTTCCTTTGCTCACAGACCTCCACAGAAACCAGTGGGGCGACCTCCAACCCCCAAGTTACTAAAGTCTCCAGGGGCAGAAGATCCTGGAAATCTTCGTCCTGTCAGGATCACACCTGAGAGTTCCCACCCTTCAACACCCAGAGGAGAGGAGGATGATGAGCAGGTCCTCAGCCCTCCTCAGCCTCGACCTCAGCCACTGGGTCAGAACAAGAGCTCAAATGAGCAAACGGCAACCAGAGGTGAGTTATGAATCTCTCACCTGTTTCACAGCTACAGTTTATTACACTGGACAGCATAACTTTTATGATGCCTTCTAGAGAGTGTAAGCAGTCCACCAGCTCACAAGCCTTCAGCAGGCACCACAGACCCGGAGGAGGCGAGTCGTATCCTGGCTGAGAAACGACGGCTGGCCCGCGAGCAGAGAGAGAGGGAGGAAGAAGAGCGCAGGCGACAAGAGGAGCAGGCAAGGTGTGCAGGCTGGGCTGTGTGTGAGCATGTGCATGAGAGGGAGTGTGTAGTGCTGAAAGGCTGCATCATTTTTGACTTGGTTGTGTCTCACCAGATTAGCGAAGGAGGAGTTGGCTCGCCGAAAGGCAGAGGAGAGAGCAAGGAGAGAAGAGGAGGCTCAACGCCAGGCCGAGGAGAGGAGGAAGAAGGAGGAGGAAGAGGAGAGAAAGGCAGAGGAAGAAAGACTTCGGAAAGAGCGAGAAGAGGCAGAGAGACTACAGAAACAGGTCTGAGATTACGGATGTTTATGTTGACTTGTTTGGTTTTATGTGGTTGCCACAAATGGCATTTTGAGCTAACTACAAAAATCAGCAGGTCTGCTGCTGGAACTTTCAGCCTGTTCTCATTCCCGGGGTGTCAAATACAGACCTGATGGTGATGCAGAGACACACACAGATGTTCTCTTTAGCATAACTACAGTGATGCGCCAGGTTATGGCAAATTACGAGACATGTCTCACTCCCAAACTTCATATGGATGCTTGTAAAAGGCTTCTTGGCAATGTAAGGGCACTGATTGGCAGGAATCACAATTTTTCAATGTGCGGGGTTAATGTTGTCAAAAGGGAAAAGTCTGTTTTTAAACCTAACCAAATATATTCTGCCGCCCTAAACTCTCAAAGGGAACATAAACTGTACTTTCCAGGCAAAAGAAAAATGTACTGCTTATGTATTCGCCCCAATTCCAGCCTCCTAAATCACACTTTGAAGCTCTTTAAAACAGACCTCTTATATCTGAGAGCCCATCATTGCAGCTCCAGGTGCATCCAGGCTTTAATGCGAGAGTACATCCTGTGTATATCTGTGATATGCCTGCTACACACTCGAGGGCGAGAACACGTTGGAGCACTATGGACCTATTAATAAGATGAAATGCTTTTGTGTACATTAGAAAGAGGAGGAAGAGGCTCGACAGAGAGAGGAGGCGGAGCGACTGAGGCAGGAGAGAGAGAGGCACTTCCAGAAAGAGGAGGCTGAACGACTGGAGAGAAAGAAGGTAACGTGACCTCACATTATAAACACGCATAAATTGCAAGGTACAGTGTACATTAAAGCATTTTTCCTTTTTTCTAACCCTCCAGCGTCTTGAGGAGATCATGAAGAGAACACGGCGTTCAGAGACAACTGAAAAGGTAAAGACCAGAGGGAAAATGGAGTAAACAAAAGTGTAACAACTATCCAACTGAACAATCTTTGAGTATTAATTCCTTTTTTTCATTTCATCACCAGAAGGTCAGAAATGGAGACAATGCAGGTAATTTAATATACCGTTTTTATAATTACTTTTGCAGTAATATATCTTTCAGATTGTCGTCAAAACATATCCTCTGCAGTTGTGGTTCCTGACACCAGATTGATTTTCTTTCACCATCAGTGAACCCGACCTCTCCTGCTGCGTCAGCAGCAACTGAGACGCCAAGACACAATAGTAACGGCAACTTAAGCCAACCAGATACCACCCCAAACCCCAACACCACAGCACTGAGCCATCCTGACCAGAGGTACAGTCAACAGCCATGATATACAACAGCCATACTGCTTGTGATGTCATCAGGTATGACACTGTTATTTTTTTTTGGTTTTTAGGGAGAATGGGGAGTTTGAAGAGGTGCTTGTACTGCCTTCACATTCCAGGTTGTCTCCTCCTGAAGGAGAGGAGGAGCAACAGCAACAGCAGGAGGACAACAGAGTTCCTGTCCTAGCCTTCTCAGAGAATGGTCTACTGAAACCTCTAAGCAGAGTAGACGATATATCAGCCCAGCAGGGAGCAGGTGAGAAGGCATCCACTCTCTGATTAGCCACTAGTTCCTACATTTATATCCCATTACTTCCCACCCCCTTCTTCTTCCTCCCTTAGTTTCCTTTTGATAAAATTACAGAGACTGTCATTCATTCTGGTCACTTCTTGGTGTGTGTGCGCATCTTGTTTTTACAAACCTGACTTGATGAATAATGTCCTCTATAAATTTTGTGACAGTCTTCTGAGGCTCTGGTGGGCTCTTTGCAAGCTCTATGAAAGAAACCTCAGCAATGTCAAAATGATGTCATCAGGAGTATCTCAGATTGAGGCATCACATTTTACCAAAAAATCGAGTTATTTAATTTTTGCTGGACTTTGAAAGATGAGGGTGTCTTACAGATCGGGAAAGGACACCCAGGGCAGGATGCATCTTCTCAAATATTTCTTCTTTATGTGTAACTCTAGTCTTACAGAATAACTCTTCAATCAATTCTTGTAAATGAAAGCATGTACAGAGACATCACTGTGGACTTTCAAAGTATCTAAGCAGTTATGTTGAAGTAGAGGTGTAATTTTCCCATGGGGCCAATTGAGAAACTGGGACATTTGTGGAGAGCACCAATAAGCTTCTGAAGATATTCACCTTTTTTTTAAATTTAAAAAAAAAAGTTAACAAGAAGAAGAACTGTCTCGAGCATCACTGACCAATTAATTTTCCCATTAGGCTTAAGAGAAACCAGGACACCAATAAGCTATTGGCACAGAATTGATTGAGCAGACCTGAGTACAGCTTATTGGTGCAGTCCTCCACATGTTTCTCACATGGCTTCATCGCTGCTACAGGCTGCTCTGTTTTTCTGTTTGTTTTTGTTTTATTCATTTTTGTTTCATACCAAGAAGCTCATTCAGATTATGAAGACCTAGTATTGCACTTTCAATATAGTAGCTCAAGCATTGCAAGTTGAAAGACCATATTTTATTTACAAGGAAGTGAATAAAGAAAATATATTATATGTCCTGTGCTTTAAATTCTTTGTTCCTTTGATTTGCAGATGTTGCCTGATGCCCTGATGCAACATGACGATTCCACACCCACAGACATGAAGGAGAGGTCAAACAGAGAGGTGAAGTACAGAGCTGTTGGACTGAATCAGTAGGACAACTCTCAGCACTAGATTCTTCCTTTCTTCCTCTCCTGTGACAGAAGAGCACTGTTCCCAAAGATGGTGTCTCCAAACATCTTGCAAGGGCATCACTGAGAGAGATTACTCTTCCCTCATCCTGCACTCTGTGGGGCAAAGCTTGTTTTTCTGTATCTGAACATGATTACACTTGGTCATCATGTATATTCTGTGTATAGCCACAGGTTTCCCTGATTCTTAAATGAATGTCCTGAAATCACAGCAGGGCATTGAGGCATTGAGTGTGTATAGTCTTGTGATGTGCGTGATTGAGAGCGCGAATGAGAAACTGACAAAGATGTAAAAACTAAGATCAGCTGTCAGTCAGCGGCTGTGATACTTGAACGTTTTTGAACTATTTTTCTGTAGACAGATTGTGATCAGCGATGGGACTTTAGCTCAGGCCCCAATCTAGCTTCGTTTATGAATTTTTGTCTCTAACTGGAACCTTATGGTTCTCACAAGGTACTATTTCTGCAGAAATGTGAGAAATAAAGTGTGCTACAGGAATAATATCAGTGCATGAAGTTGTATTAAGACTAATGCAAAAAAGGTATGTCATGTAATATACTTTACTGTTTCTACAGTGTTTAAACTAGGTTATTACTGGGGTGGAACAGGTGCTGGAGTATTATGACTTTAGGTTTAATAATGACAAAAATGAACATACTGTCATCTGAAAACTGAAAATGTAGGGTATAAACTTCAGATTTTTCTTCAAATTGCTGTACAGATAAAATGATTTGTCGTCATTGTCTTTATATTCAAATTTACAAAAACGTGCTTCATTATTAAGTTATGCCCTTTCATTCATTCACATTTTAACCCTGTCACAGTTGCACCTATTCTACATCCTGTCACTGCCTGTAAGCCACTTTTTTGGCCAAGTAAATCCAAACTGGATTGAATGAATTTACTGATGTTATTGTTAAAATAATCAGATTTGTTTCCAAGGATTTGACAGATGCTGCTAATTATGACATTCCTTGGCCTTAACATAGTGTAGAAGGAATGATGTGACTTTGCTTCATGAGCTCAATCGCTTTGGCCCTTTGCCCAAACTCCCCAGTGGCTTTTTTTGAATTCAGTATGAATCATCAAATATTTGTGTCACGCAGTTATAAATAATGCAACTCATAATTCATATCATTTCTCACTATAGCAAGACAAAAGGTGGAAATTACTAAATTTCTAGAACCAGGCCATTACACTTCATTTTCACTCAGCTCCTACAAATGATCTGCATTAGGGTCCTCAGACTTGAGCACTGTCTAACAGTACCACTAAAGAATAAACTTGTCTTGATTATGTACTGCAGGACATTACCAGCAGTACACATGGCATGCTGTTATATATTTGATGCTATAAATGTAAAAATGTATATTTTATTACTACCACAAAGATTTGAATATAGCCCTTTACTTCAGAGGAAGCATGAGGTGAGCTCTCTGAATCATTGTAAAAGTAAAATCTCTACAACTGCTGCAGCTGTACTGCTTCAAATGAATAAAACTTTTTGAACTGGTTACCTATTCAGTAATTTTACCTTATTTTGTTTTTCAAACTCTTTAGCCAAGAAAGAAAACAGAACAGAGTACAGTGACAGCACAAAATTTATATTCTGTAGCATAAACCAGCAACAATTAAAAACAGGACAGAAAGAAGCAGTGAGGATTGTAAACAGTTTCTGTACATTTTAGGAGGAAATGAAATTTTAAAAACAGATTTGAAAGAAATATTTACACCGAATGAGGACAGATGATTCAAGCATTTTAGTTTCCAGTCAACTCAAACAATAAAAGAGATCTAGCCCAAAATCTGTCGATCATCTCACAAGAACTGAAATGCTGACTTTACAGTAGAAGCCAGGACTCAGCTGTGGTTTCTCACAACAAGTAATGTCCATCCAAGTTAAATACACCGGAATGAGTCTTAAAAGCACCTCCCTGTGACTGATTCACCAGTAAAATGTTTTTGTGAGGAAACTGGCAGCAGCGTTGAGCCAGCTACCGCTGGAATCTTCCTTGGCTGTGGTGCGGGAAATTGCTCGATCGACCTCCCTCACAGGGCTCTCCTCTTCTTCTGGGAGGTAATCCGGCAGGGCTGAGTTTTGAGGGACATCCACTCCAGATGATTTCAAAGGAATATAAACCTGAAGACAATGTTATTTAAAAAACAAACAAATTCATAGTTAAACTTTAACTTACACTTCCATATCCTAATATTCTTTACTGAAAGTATATTCAAGTATCCAAGCACCTCTTCTCCTGCCTCATTCTTTATCACTTGTTGGGCCGACAACACCTTAGTGCCAGCGATGGCTGTTGCCAGACTCTGCAAATGGGACATCAGGGAAGAGTGTGAGGCTAATGATCCGTTAGAAGAGGATTTTTTTTTTCATTGTCACAAATTTCTGCATTTGGCATTTCTCAGCAGCTTTGACAGAATAACAGACATATAAACTAATAAAATCAGACTGTTTGTACAACCCAAACATGCCCCCGCCCACACAAACTTGGATGCACTGACTTGACTTTATTTTCATTTTACACAGCATCCCAACTTTGTTGGTAAAATGTTGGGTTGTAAATGTTTGTCTTTGCTTGTTACCTCAGTGGGCAGGTCTGAACGGATGCGAACAGTACATCTCTTGGATGCCATTTGGAAAGTGAAGCTTATCACTCCTTTGACCTTCAGAAGAGCTTCCTCGCACAAACCTCGATGCTTGATGACAGAGAGATTACATAATTAAACTTACTGGCGATTATAACAGCTACATAAATGAACTGTATGTAAAAAGCAGTCGACTTACAGAGCTGTCCAAGCCCTGTATGTGCAGAGTGATGGACTTGGCCTTCTTGTTGGAAGAATTGAGAAAGAACTGGGGTTTCTTCCTTCTCTCAGGCGGAGGATTAGCAGGTGCATTGAGAATATCGTAAACCTCCTTGGCCAAAGAGGTGATATCAACAGAGAGACCATCTCTGTATGGAGAAAGGTTATATTTAATCATGTGCTTTGGAGGTGTGAACACTCACCTTCATTACAAACTTATAACTATGTTATTATGCAAAATAAACGGCACAGAATTTATGCATTGAAAAAGCAGCCAAGTATCACTGTAAATTTTACATAGCCACATTAAAATGCAAATGAAATAATGTGTTCATTCACAGGTAAAAGTAACCATGGGTGTGTCACCTTGCCAAAAGATTCTCCAAGCTCACCATCATACCCAGTTCATTCTTCATGGCGGGGATGTTGGTAGATAACTCAGCCAAGTAACGTAGGGTCTGAGGACAAAATAGCACAGAAGGGATTTATATACAGCCATGCTTACAGTTCAGCGACACAACAGTGGTATTATCAGTGCACATCAACTTTAGATTAAGTATCATATCACCCATTTCACATGCTTCATATAACCTGCACATAATATAGATTACAGGAGACTTTTCTCCCCCAAGGAATTAAGCAAGTATACTTAATAGGCATGGATGGGTCACCTCTAAGTAATCACATTTATGTTTTGCTTTCAGAAAGGCTCACAGTGTGGGGGTTTAAACCTTCACATAACACATCAAAGATTCCTTCTTTAGGACCATTAGGAGACAAATCCCTGAGAGGGCTGAATTAGGAAGATCAACCACTGTAAAAATCACATTATGGGCTTTAAAAACCTTCTTTAATTGGTAATAAGACTGGAAAACATGGAAAATATGTCTTTTAAATGATGCACAGTGGTGTAGTGATAAGCGCCGCATCTCACAGCTAGAAGGTCCTAGGTTCAAATCCATCTGTCACATTCTGTGTGGAGTTTGCATTAGCTATTTGCTGATGCACTGGCATTTAAAAATGAAAATGTAAAACAGCAGTTTGTCCATTAGATGGCACTCTGCTAAAAGGAAAGTTGCCTTTTAGCAATATGTTAACAGGGAATATAATCTTTGGAATATCACAAACAGGAGCCAGTCGGATCTGAGCAGAGCCGAAGTAGAGCGTAAAGAAGTTAACAAACAGCTGCCCATAACATTGTGTGTGTTTGAAAGAAAGAAAAGTGCTTGCTATATTGAAATATCAGACTTCTAAATCTCCAAATATTCTGTCTTACAAATCCTACATCTAATTAGGGTTCTAATTAATAGGCAATTCTAAATTGGCTGTGAATGTGAGCATGAACATTTGTCACTATGTTTAGTCCTGCCACACAATAGATATGTCCACGGTGTACCCTGCCTTTAGTCTTATGACAGCTGGATAGGCTCCAGCCCAGCCTTGACCCAATGATGAAAGCTTTCACCTTCACTGGTCTCCCTCTTAAAAACAGAAAGCAACCTAATGTTATTAAAACTATGCAACCAATTGAAATTCAGAAATAATCTGAATCCCGTCCAATAACATACATGTAGAGTTGCAAAAAGGACATCTGGGTTCTGGTGGTCCAGGAAGAGAACCAACCCAGGGAGACAGCCCTGATCCTGGACTATCACGTCGCGGTTCTGGGGCTCAGAAGCCAAGTCCCGGAGCTGACTCACCACCGACAGTGCATCCATCATCTTTAACAACTTTATCGGACTGTGAAAAACATTTACAAAGGAGTTAGTCATTCTCAACGTTTGGCATGTGGTGGACAAAATATCTACTTAAGAGTGTTAGGTAAAAGACGTGCGGCTGTTGAATAGCTTTTCCTATCCCAAAACTGTCCGGTGTGAGGTACTACAATTCCTAATGAATGTTTCAAAACTACCAACATTGTCAAACATACAGGCCGGATTAATGTTAACAAGTCAAGCAGCTACGCTGCCGTTGAGAATGTGGCTAGCCAAAGAAGCTAGCTAACTACTTTAGGAGAAAAGGCTAAATAAACTTAACAAAAAATACATTTCCTCTTTTTTCGCTCCATCTTCATAACCAGATATTGGGGAATCACTTTAACTGCTATTCTATTAAAATATATAACAGTTATAATTAAACTGTAGTTTTGTAGCTAAATGTTTCTTACCCAGGGCAGAAGCAGCTCGTGCACAAATACAAATTTGGTGCAATCACCCGATTGGTCGACTAGCCTCCGCTTACGCCGCAAAGTCGCCCACCCCTATTGGCTGCTCTTACTACTTCTGTATCCACAGCCAACCAGAAGACGTCTCGCTGCTGCAGCGTTATTTGACTTTACAGACTCCTTTTAATCTGAACGCGTGAGCGAAAAAAAGGGAAGCTGCAGATTCTCGGTGAATATCATTTAGTTTACAGTATCGTCTGGGAACATGGCTTGGGAGAAATGTAGCTGCTAATTCACGTTTTGACGGTAAGTGCGACTATATGTTTTTTTTTCTTTTTATCGTGTAAAATCCCGGAGGTGTCATGCACGTTAATTTTGATGATCCACGCAGCTTTTCCACTGCGGTGCCTCTCTGCCCCCACTGCTCAGAACGGCAGGACACTGTGTAACTTACACCTAAAGTCAGCCATGCTCTCTCCAGTGTGCTGGTACACTGAGAGATTGCTGCCGAATCAACATCCAGTAGTAGAGACCGACATTTGTCTCTGAGCATCAGTGATGGCAGCAACCGACCGTTGGCGGCACTTACTTTCATTTTGCTGTTGTAGGTTGTGTCCTGGTCATTCTCGTATGGATTTAACGTTTTTCTGACCTTGACAATTCCAATGTTTAACTCTAACTGTCTGAAGCTACTTTGTTATCAATACAAACCTATGCATTCGTTATATTTTAAACTCTGTAAGTCTATAGGTTTGAGAGTCGTGGTGTTTCCTCTGCAGAGAAGTGGCAGATGAAGGAATCGGTGGTCACAGATTATCAGATTACTATAGTCATTATCATCATTATTGTTATTATTTTCCTAGTATCAATATTTGAACCATTATTTGTTTGTTGGTTTCATATGTGATTTTTACTGTGAGGCATTATCTTACTTTATGTATGTGTTATTTTGGGGTTTTTTGTTCTTGTTCTTGTTGTTTTGTTTCAGGTTTCAAGCATGTGACTTAGACCCATCCTTTCTGTGTTGGCCTCCCACCAAGACACTCAGCAGAAAGCAGAGCTTTGCAGTCATCAGCTGGTGCAAGAAAACATCCTTCCAATGTCCCTAGCAGAGGATGTTCTTCATGTGCTGCGCATCGTCCTGGAGTACTTTGGTGTTCCTCCAGACGTGGTATGTGCACAGACGCACTTGTGTCATTCTTTTGTTTTGCAATACTCAAACTCCTGAGGCATCCGCAGGTTGCTTGAATCAGTGAACTTTTAAATCTGACGTTGTGACATTACGTTTCTGTCTTGTCTGTGTCATCGTGCATTTTAGCTGGTTCCAGTGTGGAATAGTCCGCTGTGCGGTCAGTATCGCAGCATTGTGCGGATGATTGGATCAAATCTCCCACTGACACCGACACCACGTGTCCAGTTTCAGGTATTGTACAATCTGTGTTTTACAAAACATGTTTGACTTTACCCAGTCAGCACTGCTGGCTAAATGAGTACATACACTTGCATGCACGGTTGCATATAATATACAACACAAATGGCTATTTGCAATGAAAATAATACATTTCTCTTGTACATGCATAAAACAATCAAGAGCTGCAGCTGATTAGGGTGACCACATTTTGATTTCCAACAAAGAGGACACTTGGCTCAGTCATGAAGAACTTGCTTAAAGAAACATATGTAACATATTTAAACGATGCCTTCTCTGTGCAGTTAATGAATTGTGAATTGTAAACTATGTCATATAGGCTTTTACAAGTCAACAAGTGCAAAAAAAAACTTGAATTAAATAATGGTACAGAAATAATGCCTCATCTGCATAAGAAAAAATTACCAGTACTGGGTCGGTACCAGTACTGCAGTTCGTCTGAAAAGATCCATTTGCGCTTTGGGACGTTTTAAACATTATTACGCGCGTTGCTGTGCGCTGTCTGTCCCGTGTGTAAGCGCAGAACAACTCACTAAGCAGCAGCACACATGGGTACTCTGTCGGAATATAGGAAAACCTGGACATTTTTATCAATCTCAAAAATCCCCCCCGGACAGAACGTGAAAAGTGGACATGTCTGGGGAAAAGAGGACGGTTGGTCATCCTACAGTTGATCAATGTAACATTTGGCATGTTGACAGCTGATTAGGGCTGCCACAAACGATTATTTTGATAGTCAACTAGTCACCGATTATTTTTTGCGATTAGTCGACTAATCAAATCCATTGGACGTAAAACGTACAGCTTATTGCACCAGCAGCATCTGCTCTTATATAACTATCATTAGCTTACAGCTTTAAGTGTTTAAGGTGCTAACTAAAAATAAAGACAAGATGATAGTTTATTAAATTTGAATGAAATTAGCAGATTGTTTCGGTGAAGTTTAATAAACTCCTTGCTATCTAAAATATAACAGGACACCGGAGTATATTCTCCAGCATCTCACACTTCTGATAATCAGCTGTCTGCTTGACGTTTATTCAGCTGTGTAAAAACTATAACTTTAATCTCAGCCAAACAGATTTACTCAAGAACAAATAAAATACTGAAAAAAAAGCCAAACAATAAAAATTTGAAGTTATCTAAGTGACTTATATATCATGTTTAACCTGAGTAGCGAAAGACGGCGGTGGGTTTGAAAACGATTAGCCGGGAGTCCGGTGTTCTCACGGCTCTAGTGAGCCTAGCCCCCGGCTAGCTATCGAGCTAGCGGGTAACAGACGTCTCCGAAAACGTCGGAGCGCTTTTGAAAATATGCGGTGTCCTGATAAATGAGCAGATATTTGAGGTTTACACAGCTACATTCTCGCCTGAAAATATGTTAAACGTTTATTTTGTGACCCAGAAAGAATAATAAGAGTAACATTAAAACTAACTAGCTGCCGCCATTGTTGGAAACTGAGCTGGGCCGTGCTATGAATTCTGGGACAGAGCTGCTTCTTCTTCTTCGGGGTTTAACGGCAGCTGGCATCCTTGTACATGCAGTGCTGCCATCTTCTGTTTCAGTCCGTTATTACACTCTTAAATCCTGCTTCTTATTCCTGCGTCTTTTGGGATCTTACAAAGCTTCAAACGACGCGTCGACTATTAAATCAGTCGTCGACGATTTTGATAGTCGACGTAATCGTGACTAGTCGACTAATCGTGGCAGCCCTACAGCTGATCAGTCTTTTTAATTAAAAACTATTTAATTCATTCATTCTACAGTTGTCCATGTTGTTGATAATAACAATAATAGCAGTCTGTGTCCCCACACTACAGACTTATTTTCTATCTTAAAGAGAAACTGCAGCTTTTGGCACTTGTGCGTTGACTTCATTTTCCAGCCCTGGAGCTTTCCTCTTGCTTAAGGTGGTGGGCTTTAAGGAAATATAAGAGGAATGACCACCCATACTGTCTCTAATTGTCCTTGTCTGCAATAGAATATAATCAAGGCTTCACTATGAAAAGAAGTTAATATTATCATAAGTGTTTTTAAAATCTCTTTGACTCTTGTGTACTCGTTTACAGCGTGTAATCCCTCCTTATCCTTGTCTCCTCAGGTCGCTTTGCTCGGCCATAGGCACCATGAATATATCGAGCCCATTGTGGACACACCAGCCATCCCTTCCTTTGCTGATGTCATGTGGGTGTTTGAGGATGAGGGTGACAGCTGTGCTAAAACGAGGTAAAAACAAAAATGACACAGCACAGATAAAATCACCCTCCCTGCAACCCTGAACTCCATAAAAGTAAACATACAAATTCACTCATTAGGCAGTCTTGTTGGATGTGATTAATGTCACTGCATTTACACAGACTCTTACCTTTTTATGTTTGTGAAGATGAAAGGACAGCATTGATCATTCTGTCCAGACAACTGTAAGACACTAAATTAATATACGAATGATGTGGGGTCTCCGTAGGAACCACCTACCTCCAGTAAGGCGAAGTACTGTAAATCAAGATGTGATGAGATGTCCAGAACCAGCATTCATACGAGCTCAGAGAGGAGGGCCACCTGTAAGACAGACGCCTGATCCAGAAGCTCTGAAGAAGATCACAGCGCTGGAGAGCGAGCTGCTGAAACTGCGAGCTCAGATTGCTTTGATAGTTACTGCTGCTCCAGCCTCAGGTACACGATGTGTTTGTCTTTGTCCCATTTTTCAAGATGCTTTCATCTTCTCAGAACACCAACCGAGTGTTTCTTTCTTTTTTCTTGTTTTATTTTTCATCGTGTTTTAGGTCTGGTTGAATCCCCAAATGAGCCTGCCTCACCTGGGATTTCCCTTTCCCATCCACTTCCAGCGCTCACCTCCACACCTCGCCATGTGGCTCCTCCTCCTCCACCACCACCCCCTCCTCCTCCCTGCCCTAGCATTTTCACTGGGTCAAAGGAAAGGAAGGATGAGAAAGATCTCGATAAGGGTCACCAGAGGACCAAGGGGTCTGAAAATAAAGGGATGCCCTCCATGCTGGATGTTCTAAAGGACTTAAATCATGTTAAACTGCGCTCAGTGAAGAGGTAAATATGCAAATTTAAAGACAACTAATCATTAAAAATGTAACTCTTTATATGTGAAGCTGCAGAATGCTTTCTTCATTGCACCAGTAGTTCAGCATCCTGGGGTTTCCTGCTTGTTTTCCTGTAATTTGAAGTAGATCTTTCCCCCCCACCTAACAAAGCATATTCATTCTGTTTTGCAGATCTCCAGGGGGCACACCAGTTAAGAGGAGGCGCAGTAAAGGAGGTACGGCATTGCTTAATGACCCGGCAGCTCTGATTGCTGAAGCACTGAAGAAAAAGTTCACCCATCTCCGCCACAACACTTCCTCTGACAAAGAGAACTCCCTTGAGCTCTCACCTTTCGGCAGTCCTGAGTCACCTAAGGTTTGTTTTCCATAGATGCGCTGAGATCTTTGAGAAGTTAAAAAATGTTATCCACCCCCTGTGATGATGTGCTTGAAGGAGAGTTCCTAACCCGACACCTCTTCTGTTGCAGGTTCCTCACCCCCCTCGGCGAAGTCGGGGACACCGCCACCTGTTACATCATTAAAGAGTGACATCAGCATCAACAGCTCCTACAGATGTGCCTCACAGCGGATTACTACTGCAGCTACTGACTTGTGTTTTTGCTTGTCCTTACTTTGTCTTATTATGGACTACAATGTGCTCGTCTCTGTGTCTGTTGGGATTTTAAATGTGCTAACTATGTTAAAATGTGTATGTTTCTAAGCTGCTGTAAACAAAGGGGTTTGTACACAAAGGGTTTTTTTGTCATTGGATTCTTAACTGTTTTAACTGTTCTTAGCAATATGTTTGTGCAAACCACCTTTTAAAGCAAATAATATAATGAATTTCAGGTAAGCGGTGCAGCTTGCCTGCATTAATGTTTCACTTTGTGAGCCCTACCTTCTTACCTCAACCAAGTGAAATCTGTAAGAGTGGATTCTGAGATTCATAGAGCTCTATTCTATGCAACTGTTAGCAGGATATTTCTATTTTATTAAAGAGTTAAAGTGCACTGATGAAAGTGTTGTTATCTTAATTTTTCAATTTATAACAGACTTTATACAGTTTTCTCAGACAGGCATGAACATTTTCGCACTTTTCTCTCTTGTTTAAGCCGTCTCAAAGTTCAAACCTTGTTGAAAAATCAGTGCAGTATTATAGAATGAAATCGAAGGCACCCACAGGTGACAACATTTAGTCGACATTGTCTGTTTGTTGCGGAGAAAACTTACATTACAGCACTTCAGAGTCACACTGCTAGCGATCGAAGATTTATGTAACTTGACATTGATTGAAATGGTCGACAGCCAATCAGGACACAGAACACAATGCACAGTAAAGAAAAAAAAAATGCAATATTGCACAAAATTAAAATCTGCAAAACAGTGAGGCCGCGAAAGGTGAACCACGTTATAGCGAGGGACAACTGTACACTACAATTTCGGCCTCTTTAGGTTTCTACTGGCATGCATTTGACAGGGGCAGTAGCAATATGTTGGAAAGGGCAACCTCTCACACACTCATAAGAGGAAGCTGCTTACTTTTTCCTGGCACTGCATCTTCCACAGGTTACACACAGTGACACTCACTGACCAATAATGACAGTGTAACACAAAAATGTTCATTACAATAGAAATCCTGCTAGTAATTTTCAGCTTATAGTCAGTTTTACTGTCATTTATTTAGGATGCCTTGTTATCTTCTTCTCTTTTCTCACTTTCTTAATCAACATTTCATACTTGTCAGTATTATGAAGTATTTGCTCTGACTGATCTACGTAGGATCCCAAAAGAGTGACTATACCCCAAAAGACTTCATTCTTCTCACTGAATTTATGTCAAACTAATTCTTGACATTTTGAGGCGCTGCCTTAGATATTATGGACACCTGAAATAAATTACACCTGTTCAAAAAAACAAAAAACTGAATTACACAAACATATTTCATATTTCACCAGCAGGTTGGATGTCTGTTTATTTTTGGAGATAAGAAAGAAATGTGCTGAATGATATTTCTCTCTGTGGTAAAAATGCATAGTTTTGATACTTTTCATATAATCTGATATTTGTAGTGGTATTGTGACTTCCCTAGAATCTGACACATTCAGCTCAGCCAGCTAAATGACATTTTGGCCCACATTTTATATGTTCCTCAGTTTTCAGTTGATGCAAAGGAGAACATTGTGAAACACAGGTTCATTACACTAACCCAAGTCCACTAGGGGGACCATATTGAGAATGGTGAACACACAAAACACAGATGCCAATGAGTAGAGGGCATCAGGACTATTCTTTGGTCTTACACAAGTCAGTAAACACTGGAATAACTGCTAACTGTGCTCCTCTGGATACTCTCCTGAGTTGAAGAATACTTTTGAGGGACTATACCTGCTGTCTGGTCATTGAGCTTTACTACTTTGCTATGAAACATTTAAGTAATTTTTCTGTTACAACTTAACATGCTTGTGGTGTTACACTAGAATTACAGAATTATGTTTTTGAGTTTTGCCTTAAATTACAGTTCAAACAAGTGTGTCACAAACTTTCTGTGTTAAGTGGAAGTGCACGTTTGTAATTGTGCAATGCTAAAAAAAAATTGATTTAAAGAAGTATGGTTTTGTTATTGTACCGCTTTTAAAATGTTTCAATATTTTAGATATTTTTGTTTAAAAAGAGCAGCACGGTGGCACGGTGGTTAGCACTGTTGCCGCACAGCAAGAAGGTCCTGAGTTCAATTCCACATCAGGCCGGGGTCTTTCTGTGTGGAGTTTGCATGTTCTCCCCGTGTTTGCGTGGGTTCCTCCGGGTACTCTGGATTCCTCCCACTGTCCAAAGACATGCAGCTTGTGGGGATAGGTTAATTGGATAATCCAAATTGTCACTAGGTATGGTTGTCTGTCCCTGTGTGTTGGCCCTGCGACAGACTGGCGACCTGTCCAGGGTGTACTCTGCCTCTCGCCCTATGACAGCTGGGATAGGCTCCCGCGACCCTGAAAAGGATAAGCGGAAGTGGATGGATGGATGGATAAAGTACAAGGATTTACAAAATCCCTTTATCATTGACAGAAGTCATCTTGCCTATAGACCAATACATATTTTTTAAGGTGGTCATTCAATCTCAAATCAGCCAATGTTAAGAAAATTTCCTGCTTGACCTTTTCTAATTTGCATAAAGATTTTGTCGTGTTTGAACATAATCAGTACTGTGAAATTTTAGGTTCACATCAATAATATCATATCAGTTTTATTTTTGGTAAATGGTAAATGGTAAAAACTTTTTTGGAAAAACTTTCCACTGACACACTTTCAGGACTTCTTTAAGAACACATCAATGTTCAGTATTTGAACATAAATATTTCAAACTCCATTAAAGATAAAAGTCTGTATTTTCTCTTGTTGTTTTTTACCATCAAGTTTTGGCTAGTTAAAATATGAAAAAAAAGTCAAATGTTTGTTCACAGCAATTTAATTTCTGAATGATATGTAGTTGAATTTTACAATACCAAAAAATAAACCATATAGAATACTTGTCACAAAAAAGGGGGGGAAATGCATATCAGATGCTATATATGGCAATGCTTGAAAATGAACATCTCAAAAACTGTACTCAAATTAGAATAAAAATAATAATCTATTTAAATTTCTAGAACATTCTCCAATTTGCAATAGACTTATTATGGTTCAGTTTGGACATATATATTGGATCATCTAATTTCTTATTACCATTGGCCTATACCCTTGGTAAGCTTAAGTTCCCAAAAGAAAAGTATTTTATTTGAGTTTTACTACTGTGATTCAGATTTATAAAGGGGTTTATAAAATAGCATAAAAAACATAATTAATTTGAGCTGGGTTAGAGATTATTTTTCCTGATTGGTCCCAAATCTGTGTAATGTCTTTGGAGAAAGAATTTGTACAAAATATGTAATATGTACTATGTAATTTTATATGTATGTAATATGTATATGTAATATGTACTATGTAATTTTAGTTTCATATATCAAGTACTTTTCAAGATATATTCTTGTGAAAAAAGGTCCGTCAACCCGCTTTAAAACATTTTTTCAAAATCTACAGCAATTACATTTATAATGATTACTGATAAATTTGATCAAAACATTTCTTTTAATAAAAAGGTCAGTTGACCCACTTTCACACCATTTTTTTCACTCATTGTTATAACAATTCTAGATGTGATGTAAAATATATGCATGTTTCCCCAGTGATTATTTTTCAGATATTTGCTTTATTTTGCAGTAAATTCAACTACATATAATTCAGAAATTGTCACTGTCTTCTTCTAATTGTTCCAATGTATTTTTTATTAGTGTGTACTGAAATAGGCTGCTTAAATTTCATAACTTTTTCATGTATCCAGACCAAATTTAAAATCCAGATTTTTTTTATGACAATGAAACAGTAAAAAGTTGTTCATCAGGCATTTATCTGTAATAGTTTTTGAGATAGTCATGTTCAAACATTGCCTCACATTTCATTATCTGCAGGAAAAATGGCATTAAAGTGGGTTGACTGCCTTTTTAATAAACTATCTTGCAAACTATTTGATATATATAGCTAAAATTATCACAAATGTTATTTACTCTATACTCAAACTTTGGAACATAACATTTATATGCAAATTAGAGAAATGTTTGAAGAGTAGACAGGAAATACAGCAGAGGCAAACATGCAGTGAAAGCCAACAGGAAGAAATTAGCTGCTGCATTAAAAAAAAAATTGACTTCTACTTGCTTTTATAGTAACACTTGATTACAGCAGCTTAGGGTTTGAGAAATGAAATTTACAAAATTATCTAAAAAAACAAAAACAAAACCCAAATTGTTGCAGGATCAACTGTAATTGCCCAAGTAGAAATGTTATGATTGTCATCCTCTTCTTTCACTGTGAGAAATACAAAACAGAAAAAAGAGACATCATACATTGTTTATATATAGTCAGATACATAAATATTTGAAAAGCCATCAAATACAATCAGGAGTATCCCTTATTCCATACATCCATTCATCCATAGCTTTAATTCACAGCAAAAGTATTGCATTAACTTTTGTAGAAATTAAAGCCATTTATACACAACCCAAAGGAGTGGCCAAATCAGTCTGGTTCATTCTTAAAAAAAGATGTGCACTGACCCAGTCAGTAACACCCAAAGGCCTGGAAGACCACAGAATACAAGTAGGTGATCACAGAATTTTCTATGGTTAAGAAAAACAATGTCACAACATTGAACTAAGTGAAGAACACTCTTTAGGAGTTACATGTATAACTGTCAAAATCTACAATCATGCGACACCTTCACGAAGTAAAATAGAAACAGTTTATAACAAGGAAGGAATCTCTTGTTACAATAAAGAACAGGTAGACCAGATTAGACTTTGCCAGAAAACATTTATATGGGCCTGCGCAGTTCTGAAAAAAAGAAAAGGAAAAAAAAAACATGTGTTCGGGCAGATGAAACCAATAATGATCTGTACCGGAATTACTAAGAAGCATCCAAAGGATGTTTGCCTATGAAACATGGTTGAGTCAGTGTTATGGTATGCATGGTTCTCAGTGGAACCCAGCCACTAATTTATATTGATTTATTAAGTCAAATGCAGCAAAACTGATGGAGCAGTGCTTAATGGTGCCATTGGATAGTGATCCAAAGCAAATGCAACAGCTGCCAAAGATTTTCTAAAGGCAAAGAAATGAGAAATTCTTTAATGGTCAAGCGAACCTGATCTCAACCTAACAGAGTAGCTTTTCAGTTACTGAATACAAAACTGGAGGTAGAGAGACCCACAAACAAGCAGAAACTAAAGATGGCTAGATAATATGAGACACAAATTGTCATGATCCTGGGTCCTTTTGACCCAGCGTTTTGTGTTTTCTGTTATTGTGATTTTGGTTCTGTTCTTCCTCTGTTTAGTGTTTATTCGGTTCTGCCCATGTATTCCTGTGTTAAGTCCATGTTTCTTAGTCCATGTCCTTGCATGTGTAAGTTCCTGTTTTATTGTGAAGGTCTCTATCTTATGTCAGTGTGTTCTATTTACGTTTCCCCTGCCTCGTCAGCTGTTATATCTTTCAGGTGTGTTCCCCTCCTGTTTCCCATCCCCTGATTCCTGGCGCGTGTATTTATAGTGTGTGTTACCTCGTCCTTGTTGCTGGTTCGTCTGTGTTATTTGGCGTTTTCGTGTCTGTGAATCGCTTGCCGTCATCCTGTGAATTCTCCCTACAAGTTGCTTTCTCTCGTGTTCAGGTTTGGTGTTTAGGTTTTAGTTTTCCCAGTGTAGTTTGTCTAAGTTCGGTTTCTCGTCACACTCTCCTTTTGTTTGTTATCACTCGAGTTTTGTGTCAAAAAGCCCTCTCATTTCACTGCATATCCGTATCTTGGGTCCTTTGTTAAATTCACACGGCTTGCCCCGGCAACCCGTGACAGAAATTCCTTTGGGGTTGCATCAGGAAGGCTATCCAGCATAAAAAATCTGTGAAATAAAAAATGGAGTACCCTCTGTTGAATCAGGGAGTGGCCAAAAGTAGCTATAGGATTTCTTGAAATAATTCTAAAATAATTTATGTAGTCTGATATGTATTACCAATTACTTTTTGGTGGAGATTGTGTCATTGTACAAATATGTACTTAGCTGGATTTATAATTTTGCAATCTAATCTTTCTTTTACAAGCTTTTACAAATGTTGGTTTCATCTGTCTAAACAGTGTTATTTCAACACTGGGCAGTCTTTCTTGAAATGTTTTTCAGCAAAGTCTAATCTGGTCCTTTTGTTCATGAGGTTAGGAAAAATATCTTGGGGTAAACCCTCATACAGCATCACATTCACTAAGTTGTCTAGTGATTATAGACTCAACAAAAATATTCCACATGTTGTGAATGTTGATAAAGGATTTTTCTTTGTTATTACATTTTGGATTTAGACACTCCTGAAAGTTTCTACTCTGGTCAAGAATTCTCATTAACAGCTTCCAAATCCAAATTTGCAAAGCCTACTTCAGTCACATCTTTATGACTTAACTTCATATCCATTAGTTTACAAAGTTGAAACTAAGCAAAAGGTGTTACTGTCCGTTATATTTATGCAAAAACATGGATCCGACATTCCACAACTGTCATAATGAAGTTCTTTAAGTATGTTTACGGGTGAATTTGTTTTGAGTCTGAATTTTAAAAAGGGCATTGCAAGAAAAACAACTGAAGTTTTGCTTGATCTAAAAAAATGTTTTACCTTTTGGTATGCTGAACCTTTTAGTCTATCTCCATTGGGGTGACGTCGTCATCCATGGAGGAGACAGATGGTCCAGCGGCACTGAATGGAAAATAAAGGCAAATGCATAAACCACAACACCTGTTTATTTAAGCAGTGGCAATAACAGTATGTTGTAAATTAATTTTTAAACAGTACATAATGGAACTTGCTTAAAATTAAAAATTAAATGTCTAGTCTATTCTACAAAGCAGAATTCAAAGCTTATTGTAAGCTGTTAATTCTGCTTAATTCTGCAGAGTATTTTAAGCTTACTAGTTTTCTACTTTTCTACTAGTTTATACCAGTTCAACAAAAATGTTATCCCTCTCAGGCTCAAATTAGGTTTTTGTTGCTAATGCACAAAAGAATACCCGCAGTGGTACTTCTGAGTAAAAAAAACCTCATAAAATATGTATGTGGGGTAATCAGGTTGTTAACTTTTAACTGTTGCAAATCTGCAATGCCTGCCTTGAGAGGGTTATACATCTAGCATGTATACAAACAGGTACTGAATATAGATCAACAATAATGTAATAAAGTTTGTCAGTTTGTGTTTAATGTAATAAACACAAACTGTGTGTTTAATGTAATAAACACAAACTGACAATGTAAGTAGAAAAGTGTGTAAGTTACCGGCCAGGAACTGGTTGTTCACCGTAAGCAGTCCAGTCCATCGGTTCTGGTTCCTGGAAAAAAGAAAAACAAACAAAAAACACATGATTCATATCACATTGTGTCGCATTGTAGTGCTATTATACTGCTATGAAAAGCATGTTGTCCTGGATATGGTCTGTTTGTTTCTAAACCCTATGAAAACCTTACTTCGTGGGCAGCGCTAGTAAACGGATTTGGCGTAATGGGTGATGGTTTGCCCTTGATCACAAGGTTAAACTCAACCTGCAATTAAACAAAAAAGCTTTATGGAGTTAAATATATTATATAATGGTTATATTATAATACCAAATACTTTTTTAAGCTAAAATTCAACCATACATGTGAGCCATGTGGCACAGCAACATATACTTCGATGGCGTCCATTGTGTCGTCATTTCCATGTGCCAAGTTTGTACGTGTTGATGTACTTCCGGTACGGAAGTACGTCAACACGTACAAACTTGGCGTGCTATCATGTCTAACTATTCATGACACAAATGAATGCTATTCACAGATATATATGTACATAAATGCTCGTCATGCAAAACTATTAGTTATTGTATTTTAGTATTTTTAAAACATTTAATTCCTAATATTTTTTAATTTATGTTTTAGTTTTCTGTTTCTGTTGAAAGCATATATTTTTATTTTACAAAGTAAACACAATTTATGTTTAAATAATGAAAAATATAAAAACACAAATTTTCTTTTTATGAAAATTATTAACTTTTAACAAGATTTTTAACTAGGTATTCCCTCTATGCTGAAGATGCACTATTTAACATATGCTCTCAAATGAAGTGTACTGGTACACAGTCTCTCACTCTCACTTTAGTTTAGCTCAAAACGCACTTCTTCTTTTTGTCTAAACAGTGTACAGTACGATGAATGTGGTTTACGGTCCACACTACCCCAGTATCTCAAATAAGAGAAAAAGAAGATAGCCTTCCTCACTGGCAGGATTAGATGCATATATTAGATGCTTCAAAGAGTCGTTTTGTAATTATCAATAGCAACTTCAAAGTTCAGGAAGAGGCCAGCTGACTTCAGTATGTATTTGCATGTATTTTTGCATCTGTAGCATGGTTTGTTTTTTTGCTCTCTTTTGCTGGGTTTTTATTTTTGAATTCATGATTCTTTCCTTTACATTATGAAGATGATTTAAGTTCAAGCTTTATACAGTTTAATCTTGAGTCTGGTTCTTTGAGTCTATGTCTTTGAGCTTATTTGTATTTCTACTACAGTCAGGTTCCTTTTGTGTCTTTGTCTCATCCCTGTGGTTCCTGTGAGAGTTTGTCGTGTTCTCTGAGTTTATGTTTCCCCAGTCATGTCTTTGTATGTTCCCTCTCTGTCTGATTTTTTTTTCCTGTTTGTGATCTCCCTATGTGTCTCAATCCCTCTCTCTGTCTCTGTCTCACTTACCTGTTCCTTTGTTCCTCTCCTTGTGTTTCATCCTTGTCTCCTCAGCCTGTCTCCTCTTGTTTGCTCCATGTCTCCCTTAATATTCCAGGTTATACTCCTTTTCCCAGAAGTGAGGGATTTCGTCAGCTGTAAAGGAACCAGTTGCACAGAGGTGAGCTGATTACCAGCAGCTTCTAGGTGTGTCAGGCAGGAATGCAGGTAAACAGGAAGAACCCCGCCTTTGAAGCAAACTGTAAGAGTGTTACAGATGGTTATGGGAGGCGCAGAAGAAAATGTCAGCTCGACACGAAAGGATATCATGAAAGTTTCTATTTCTAAGTAAAGTGACCCAGTAGTATCTGCATGGTAGTCCACAAAAAGAGCTGGGTAAAATTCCCTAATTTTTTAGGAAAAGTGCTTAAATGCTTTTTTTTAATAACTTATTTACCAGAGGACACTTGAAACCATTCTTTATGACAGGAAAGAAGATAATTCTGTTCCACAATTCATGCACCCTCACACTGTTCGCGAAGACAATCAATAAATATGCCAAAGTATTGCAGATCATGAAATGTTCTTTAGAAGTATATTTCCATATCCTGCTGATACATGTTAAATTTTCAACAACAAATTAACTATAAACGATAGTTAATTCTCCTACACAGTCTTCCTTAAACTCATGACGTTTTCTACTAAGTTCAAGGAAGAGTGACAAGGAAAAGGGAGTAGGTGGCCTGTCTGCCTGATAGACAAAGTTATTGGTCTGTCAGCCTTTATCGCTCCTTCTGGCCTTTAAATCATACCTTTTGGTTTATTCAACTCAGCTGTTATATTTCAACAACACATGAATATTGTTGTTAATGGTATCAATGATTGTGCTGTCAGTTTAAACAATGGGTCCTTTGTCACACATTACCCCTTTTTGCATTCTTTAATAACTTCTGTTGACAGCTGACAGCTGTTGTGGAAATTTATTAACAAAGCCTGCAGACACAATGAGCAGTTAAAACCCAACACTTTATTTCCCATGAATGAGGAGAGACGTCAGTCACGGGGCACTGAAAGTCGTCTCTGACAATGAACAGTTCAGGTCCCTTTTAAACACTGTCACGGAACAAAAGGCTTTTACAGTTGCAGTTCACACCTTGGCTCTAAACAGAAAACTCTATCACCTGTGTGAATCTCCCCCACTCTGGGGTCAAGTCTTCCTGTGTGAGCTTCCGTCTCCTGGGAGACATTCACCAGTTTCTCACCGTCTGTTTCCCAGCGTGAATGAGGTGTGAACCAGACATACTAAACTAAATAACATGAAAGCATTTCATCAAGACAATACATTAAAGGACAATACGCTAAAGAGAAATCCCACAACAATTCCCACCCTCTTGATTGCATCTCAATCACTACAGGGAGTGCAGAATTATTAGGCAAGTTGTATTTTTGAGGAATAATTTTATTATTGAACAACAACCATGTTCTCAATGAACCCAAAAAACTCATTAATATCAAAGCTGAATGTTTTTGGAAGTAGTTTTTAGTTTTTAGTTACTATTTTAGGGGGATATCTGTGTGTGCAGGTGACTATTACTGTGCATAATTATTAGGCAACTTAACAAAAAACAAATATATACCCATTTCAATTATTTATTTTTACCAGTGAAACCAATATAACATCTCCACATTCACAAATATACATTTCTGACATTCAAAAACAAAACAAAAACAAATCAGCGACCAATATAGCCACCTTTCTTTGCAAGGACACTCAAAAGCCTGCCATCCATGGATTCTGTCAGTGTTTTGATCTGTTCACCATCAACATTGCGTGCAGCAGCAACCACAGCCTCCCAGACACTGTTCAGAGAGGTGTACTGTTTTCCCTCCTTGTAAATCTCACATTTGATGATGGACCACAGGTTCTCAATGGGGTTCAGATCAGGTGAACAAGGAGGCCATGTCATTAGTTTTTCTTCTTTTATACCCTTTCTTGCCAGCCACGCTGTGGAGTACTTGGACGCGTGTGATGGAGCATTGTCCTGCATGAAAATCATGTTTTTCTTGAAGGATGCAGACTTCTTCCTGTACCACTGCTTGAAGAAGGTGTCTTCCAGAAACTGGCAGTAGGACTGGGAGTTGAGCTTGACTCCATCCTCAACCCGAAAAGGCCCCACAAGCTCATCTTTGATGATACCAGCCCAAACCAGTACTCCACCTCCACCTTGCTGGCGTCTGAGTCGGACTGGAGCTCTCTGCCCTTTACCAATCCAGCCACGGGCCCATCCATCTGGCCCATCAAGACTCACTCTCATTTCATCAGTCCATAAAACCTTAGAAAAACCAGTCTTGAGATATTTCTTGGCCCAGTCTTGACGTTTCAGCTTGTGTGTCTTGTTCAGTGGTGGTCGTCTTTCAGCCTTTCTTACCTTGGCCATGTCTCTGAGTATTGCACACCTTGTGCTTTTGGGCACTCCAGTGATGTTGCAGCTCTGAAATATGGCCAAACTGGTGGCAAGTGGCATCTTGGCAGCTGCACGCTTGACTTTTCTCAGTTCATGGGCAGTTATTTTGCGCCTTGGTTTTTCCACACGCTTCTTGCGACCCTGTTGACTATTTTGAATGAAACGCTTGATTGTTCGATGATCACGCTTCAGAAGCTTTGCAATTTTGAGACTGCTGCATCCCTCTGCAAGATATCTCACTATTTTTGACTTTTCTGAGCCTGTCAAGTCCTTCTTTTGACCCATTTTGCCAAAGGAAAGGACGTTGCCTAATAATTATGCACACCTGATATAGGGTGTTGATGTCATTAGACCACACCCCTTCTCATTACAGAGATGCACATCACCTAATATGCTTAATTGGTAGTAGGCTTTCGAGCCTATACAGCTTGGAGTAAGACAACATACATGAAGAGGATGATGTGGACAAAATACTCATTTGCCTAATAATTCTGCACTCCCTATAAATTCTGGAGGTAGTCTCTGATAAACTGAGCTTTGTCATCTTGGAGGATAGGTTTTGGTCCCAGAACTTAGAGACATGGGATTATCGCTGGTTGCAAACTCTCATCTTGATATGTAACTGCACTGAGATTGCCTCCAATTATGACAAGTCTTGTTTCTTCAGTGAGGGAGATGCTGCCAAACATGATCACACTGTCTCCACCAAAAGCTATGACAGTCTGAACGTACGATCTAGCTGCTGTAGGCAGAATCCAGATTCAACGTTCCTCCACATGTTTCCTGACTCAGTGTATCAAGCTACTTGAAAAAAGTAATTAGTTACTAATTACTGATTACTTCTCCAAAAAAGGAATCCCATTACTTTACTGATTACTTATTTTCAAAAGTAATTAGTTACTTAGTTACTTCGTTACTTTTCAAAAACATGATACATAACCATAATACACAATAAAGCAATAGACCTTTCAGCCCAATTCTATTTTCTCTGCATAATCCATCATATAACATTGAATCAAATGGAAAGCCTCTTTCTAACAATTGTTTTATTTGTTTTAATCTTTTAATTTTATGCACATTGCATTAAGCAAAAAATTTAATTATATGCAGCTGTTTTTGACTTGAAGAAATTGTTTAACATTTAAACCTATTTTCTGCATATTCCAGCATATAAAATAAAATAATGTTTCGTGTTTACACTCACTCTTTTAAATAGATGCAAGTAAAACACAGCAAAATATAAATCAAATCAAGTAGTTCCATAACTACATGGAAGTAAGTACTTCCATGCTTTAAACGCTGCATGGTCGTTCTCACGTCTGTTGCTGCCACAGGCATTGCACGTGCTTACATCATTGTCATGAGACACTCTCACAAACAAAATCATGACAGTTTATGCAGTAACGCAGCGTGCTTATAGGAAAATAACAGTAATCTCATTACTTTTTTGCAATAGTAATCCCTTACATTACTTGTTAATTGAAAAAAGTAATCAGATTACAGTAATGCATTACTGCCCATCTCTGTTTCTGACAGCAGCGCAAACAGGCCTGATGGTGAAGAGTAGTCATAGTAGGCCTCCTTGCAGCCCTGTGAGTTGGAACATTGGCTGTGTGCAGTCTGTTCCAGATTGTCTCAGTATCTCATTCTGAAAAATCTGTAAAATACTGCCTACTGCTCCTAAGTGCCGACAGGGTGAGGAACCAGTCATCCTGTGGTGTCATCTTTTTAGAACACCCACTTTGCAGCCTGCCTGTGACATCTCCCATTATCTGAAACTCGGTCTTCAATTTCGAGATGATACTTGGGCTCACTCCAAGTAATGCTGCAACTTGTGTTCACAGAACACCAGCTTGAAGTTGTCCTATGGCACAAGACCTATCCAGATCAGTCAAATATGGCATGCTTGGAGCAGACAACAAGTGACGCTATAACAGGGTCCATGCTCACAGGTGTTGCTAGTCAGGCAGCTGAAGCTCAAAAAGAAACTTAAAACAAGACTCAATAGCAGAATAAGCTGTTGGGCAATGGCAGAGAAAATTTTGGCAAATTTTTAATGGGTGCAACTCACATATTCAAATCTGCCGCTCAACCCACAAATGTATTTTTCCTACAATTTTTGCACCACTTAAGGGGAAATAAACAAGTTTTTTTGAGATTTATTGCAAATAAGTATTATTTCAACAAACTTTTAGTGCAGTTTATTTCGTTTCTGTATATTTCTATTCCACTAGATGTCAGCATTCAGCATGCTGAAATATACTTTGACTAATGTGTTTAAACGTGGCCTGAATGGCAACAACCAGATTGTTTGTTCTCTAAGATCACCAACATGTGCGAACTACTCGGGGACGATTGTTTTATAGAGTTAACACAGAAATGACATCCATTTACTTATAAAAGTGAAATAATGTGGTAGTTGTAGTGTAGTAATTATTGAATCTCTGTTAGTATAAAATATATATACTCTTATTTCTTCCAGTAAACAACTAAAGGTTGGGCTGCATTGCTTTATTGTGTTATGCAGTATCCTGTAGTAGTACTTACAGACTTATTTTAGAATATTCCAAATTAAAAACACTGTTTATTTGATAACGACCAATCGTAATTAGAGCAGGTACTGTATCCTAGTCCTGATTGGATCTTTCCCGACAAGACCCGCCCCGCCCCCCTCCCCTCCTTTCCCTCTGCGGCTCACCAAGCACATACACACACAGCAGCAGCACGCGGGCAGGGGCGGAGAGGGAAAACAGCAACTTCG